ACGGATGACGTCCCGGGCCTGGAGATTGAGACGGCGGAGGGGTGGCTGCCAGTGCCACCTCGCCCAGACTGTTTCATCGTGAATGCCGGTGACCAGGTGGGAGTTTCCGAAGATAGGGGTACCTTATTTTGGGGTCCTTATAATAAGGATCCTACTATTTAGGGTGCTATATTGCGGTTCCCTGTTTTCGGAAACTCCCAGGTCGACTTTTGGACTCGTGGCTTCTTCAAGAGTGCCAACCACCGTGTCCGTCCCAGTGAGCCGGGGAAGCCACGCTACTCCACAGCCCTCTTCGCTTACTTTGACTATGAAGCCCTGGTCACGCCTTTGGAGGACTTTGTCATAGTTGGGTAACATTATACATGTTTATGGGTACTTGAACCCAATAAGGAATAAAAATGTACATTTTTAATCCTATCCCAACAATGAACTGGAGGAGATTCAGGGAGAGGACCTGACGAAGCGGGCCACAAAGGAGCCCGTCACCACCGGGGACTACTTTGCCCTGAAGCTCTGCGAGTCTATCGGCAAACCTCCCGAGGACTGCCGCCTACCCAGCGGCCTCAGCACAATGCACGATACTTCCGAGCTCTGAGGCTGCTTGTTCCTAGTTTCTTTTAGTCGACTGTGGACAGTGTGGTTACTGAGTCAGTCCGATTGCAGCTCTCAAACTGTTACGCATAGTATTGTTCGTGCTGTTACAAGTTATGCACATATCCATATTAGTATCATCTTCGTCCTTGTTGTCTATGCCGCCTACGCGCGCTGCTCAACTGAATGTGGAGCTTGATGGCAATGGTTTCGGTTGGTTCCGGCACAAGCCGACCACCAGCCGATCAGCAGAGCTCTCGGGAGCTCAAGAGGGGAATCTGAATCATCAGCACATGCAGCATCGAGTAATTTCGAAGCCTAGTTTGCGAAAACATACCCTTCAGCTCGCTTCGAGGCACTTTTATAGTGCGACCATTAGTGCGACCATGCAGCTGCTCAGCTTCCCCAGTCACTTGTTCAGGATTTCTTGCCACGTTTTCCATTAAACACCTAGGCCGATACCGACAGGACCGGTGAAAGAGCAGACAGGGTTTAGGGTTGAGGGCCAGGGTCTTGTAGTATATGTAGGGTTTCCTTTACGGCAATGTCATCAGGTCCACATTGACTGTACCTGGGGGGGGGGGGGGGGGGCCAACAAAGATGAGAGCAATCGTATGTTCTACGTGGCTCTTGACTTGAGCACTATAGCCTAGACTATTTTCGGGGGTCCTTGTTATAAGCACAGTATAATGGGGCCCAAACCCTATTCTAATGATTAACGACCCCTATAGTAGAAGCCAGAAAGTTGGAACATGGATTTAGGAGGATTAGTGCTGGAATGCCTATACTTCACTTTAAGGGCATGAGGATAGTGATGTTCCAGCTTTCTGGCTTCGACTGTAACCCCTTCCAGTGGTTAGCGTGTGCCAGCCAAGTCTGGGCTGAGCTAACATGTCAAACCAGAGCTCTATGTATATGTTTTCGTGCTACCCCAGCACCCTTAAACGCTAAACCCTGAGTGTGCGAGTCGAAATCCCGAACCCCGAAGCCCTGAATTCCGCAGGTCCTCCTAAAGTCGGATCCCTCGAAACCTCTAAACCCAAACACAGAAGAGAAGTCTTGTAGAATCCTCAACCCGTATCTAGTCACGGTAAATGGCATAACATAAACCCCCGGCGTCAGGCTTCCTCTGCGGTCACTGCTGAGCCGCGATGAAACACGAGATAGCTCGGAGACCCGCAGAGGTGCCCAGGACAGGTCTCCTGGAACCCCAGTTTTACTCAAGGATTGAAGATAGAAACATCCAACCACATATATCTATATGTCTATATGTATATATATATATATATATATATATATATTTATTTATTTATTTATTTACCCAAGATCTTGCCCTAACGACTAGGGCTCCTATTTTACCTAGATTAGAAAGAAAAATGGCGCATACATGCTGTACACGAAAGCTACATCTATAGAGATCCGCCGTAGTATCCACATGACCTTTCTATGTCAGAACCTCCTTAAAAGACCGAGTAGCAGGGAAAGCAGGATACCGTCAGTATGAAGGCTTTCTGGTGTCTGGATCCCACAAGGAAGAAGCAACACAACCCTAAGGGTCCAAGTACCTTGCGCGTCATATGTACTCCCCCGAACACTCTGCTTTACGATTATTCTCCTAAACCCAGGTATATCTAATTTTTAGGTCCGGGCAACAGGGGAACTATAGTCGGGAGTATGTGTAGCCATTGTTCCCGTGAGAGCTATGCTGGAAAGGTACGTCTCGTAAGATCCAGGTAAGTCAGACGATGGGCTGTATCATGTCTACTGAACCCTAAGGCTCCATGTACCCTTACGGTATATACTTAGGCCTTAAAGTACCTATATAGGGCACCCTTTAAGGCTTAAGTATCTGCTATAAAGGTACATGGAGCCTTTGGGGAAGGGTGGAAGTTTATGGGCCTGTGGTTTGGCAATGCGGATCTTCGTCGGTTAGCGTTTAGGGCTTTGTGCATTTTAGGGTATAGGGTTTAGGGTTTTATCCACGGTTTAGGGTTTAGGGTTTTGTGCAGTTCTGGGCTGTACTTCTCGCCCCCGTTCCTTTTTGTGAGCTTAAGCCCTACATTGCACCACATCCTGGCCTCAGAAAATACACTGCGGGTCAGCCCTCCAAACTTGACGATCCTTACGCCGGACCTGAACCTACCTTCTGAGGGTTCCTCAGGTATGATTTCCTTTTGGAAGTCCTCAAACATGTAGGTTTGTCCGGTCCAGGTGCGCCGTGAACCCTAAGCCCTAAACCCTAACCCTCAACCGGAACTGCAAACCTATCCTACCAGCACCTATATACCGGCTCTCCGTCACTTTTCGCCAGCACCGGCCGGTGGAGATACAGACGAAAGGAGAAAACAACACTTCAGACAGTGTAGGGTTGAGGAGGGATTCAGGGATTTAGGGCTTCAGGGTCTAGGATTTAGGGGTTAGGGATTCAGGGATTTAGGGCTTCAGGGTCTAGGATTTAGGGGTTAGGGATTCACTGATTTAGGGCTTCAGGGTCTAGGATTTAGGGGTTAGGGTCTAGAGTAGGGCATATGGGGCTTACAGGGCTTGTAGGGCTGCCAGGGCGTAAGGGCTTCCAGGGTTTAGACGGCTTGGTTTTGGGTTAGTCTGGTAGGTGCCATTTAGGGTTTAGGGTTTAGGGTTTAGGGGTAGGGCATGGTATGTAAATCATGCAAATCCCTAAGCCCCAAGCTTGAAAGGCCTGCAATTCCTGTCAACCTACGCTCTACCAGGACTCCTGTAAGGCTTCTTTTAAGATTCTCACCCTTGGTTACTACGGAATGGAAGAATGGTAGTAATAGTAGTTCTAATTGTACCCCATTCCTCCATTCCCTACCAACCAAAGGTAAGCTTTGAGGGCAGAAAATTCGTTTAAGAGTCCTGAAGGGGTTTAGAGGGGATAGAAAAAACCTTTTGTGGAGTTTCTTCGCGTACAACGGTAAACATCCTGATGAAGGACGTGATGATTCAGCCTGATGCCTCAACTCTGTGCTCTCATCCAAAGCCCACCCTAATGCTCCTGGACCCTCACAGTGAGATCCTAAACCTTAGCCCCCAAAGCCCAAACCCTCCCCCAGAGATCCCATGACCCTCTTAAGAGCCTTAGGGCAGACCAAAATTCTGAACCTGGAAACATTTGGGAGTTTCCGAAAATAGGGGACCCTAAACCACCCTAAATCGTAGGATCCCTATTATAAGGACCCCAAAATAAGGTACCCCTGTTTTGGGAAACCTTTGGCCTGTCCCATAGGTTGGAAGTCATAGTTTTCATTCGAAAGCCTGACGGCTTTAGACCGAACTTCGGCCCTCTGGGTACCCAGAGGGTCATACCCTACCCCTTTTGGGCGTACCCACTTTGAATTCCTGCGTAACAGGTCCAAGCCATCAAGCTAGGCACCCTGAAGGGGGTAGGGTATGACCCTCTCAGTAGTTTGGGGTTTTGGGATTTATGGGACTTCCGTTTTTGGATTACGGCACTTCGGCTTTTGCGGTTTAGCAGTAGCAGGATAGTACATGCGGGGTACTATCCCAAAGAGCCCAATACCCCTCAATTAAGGAGTATTGCTTACATTGTATAGTGATTCATATATTATGACTTATGCTATATTCCCTAGTTAAGTGGTATTGGGCTCTCTGGGATTATGTTTACTTCTTATCAGGGCAAAACGACCCGCAGACAGGTCTGAGGCCCTCTGTCTCACAGCTTCAGGGGCTTTTCGCACGCCTCGGCCTAAGCCTTACCTTAACCTCGCCTACCCTTCCTTTTCAAAACTTCTCATGGTGATACTGCTGATGGACAAAATCCTGCATGACCCTAAGGACTCTAAACCATGGGAATTATGGTATCTTCCTTATAATGGGTGCAGGATTCTGTCCATCAGCAGTATCTTTAGTAAGTTAGTTGGGGTGTAATCAAAACCCTAAACCTAGGTGCTCTGTGCATGCAACTATGACCTCGAGCACCTCGCCGCCCGCAGGTTTAATCAGTGATGGGGGTTGTCAGTGTTCTACAAAGAAGGCCCCCAATGATGCTAATCTGCACGCCCCTAAACCCTAAACCAGTTCCCAGATCATGAGTCTATGGAGGGCATAACGTATCGGTATAGCGGTATAGCGACAAAGGACTAAGAAGTGGTGCCACAGATGCCCATTACGAGTTAGTAAATCCCGACGTCTAGCCCATAGACAACAGCACAGAGAGAGCTCCATACCCCTTTGTGTAATGTCTAAAGCAAAGCCCGAAACCCTAAACCCCTAAAGCCCTAAACCCTAAAGTGCGAAAGCCACAAACCCTACAGCTTGAAACCCCAAACCCCAAAGCCCAAAATCCGAGAATTCTAAACCTCAAAACCCAAACGCCCTAAACCCAAAACACCGGAAACCCTAAAGCAACGCCACCGGACCGTGGAGCCATGCAGCTTCTCCTGGGCGTCTTAGCACTTCTCGCTGGCTTCTGGAGCAGCCAGGGATGTCCCTGTTATGTCAACTTGTCTTAGATTCCTCAACATATTAGATTCCTTAACAAGAGCCCAATTTCCCCTCAGGATAAACAGAGTTGTAGGCCCAAATTTGGCAGCTTAAAGTCGGGTCCATTAACAAGAACCCCCTTTTCCCCTGCCCAACTGCCAAAAACAACACCAGAGGAAGAGCCTGGGAACGCTGGCCTGGCCCTTCTGTCGCAGCCCAAAGCTCAGCATCAGTCTCTAGTTGTTTCAAGGGTCCAATAGGGCCCTAAACCCTAAGCCCTACAACCTAACCTAAAGCCCAAACCCTAGGCCCTGAACCATAAAGCCCAAGCCCTACCCATAAGTAGGTACTTCGATTCAGGATGACCGCGCTATAGCTGAATATGTCCTTAAGACTTCAAAGAGCTCGAAGTAGGTACAATGTATAGCATTTAGAACCCCAAGCAGGTAGTACTTGTATCTTTGAAGTCAGAGTTTTTGGGGAGGGTGCATACTTGCCCTAAGGTTCCAAGTGCCCAAATAGTAGGGTTTCGAAGTTCAAAAACCATTCCGAGTATGGATTTTGGGACCTAAAACCCTACTATTTGGGTACTCGGACCCTCTGGGTTGGTTACTGGCGATTGGGACCCTGGCAGGGTCTGCCGCGAAGTGCTCTACGGCTCCTTCAGCTTATCGGGATTAAGACCTTAAGATACCCTAAGGGTCCATGTACTCATACAGTGCCCTACTACCATCGACCCCATAGTAGTTCCTTTTTGGGGATTACCTTGTAGGATTCTATATTCTGCCCTAAGGGTCCATGTACTCATATAGTATATACATTGGCCTTAATGTAGTCCCTATATAGGTACTTTGGGGCCCATGTATCGCTAGAAGGGTACATGGACCCTTAGGGATAGGGCTGTCCATGTTATTCTTATAGTTTCAGGCTTGTGCATTTAAGGGTCTTAGGGTATGTATCCCAGTCTAAATGTGCGCTTGTATAGTATAGGTCACAGAAAAGAACAAGCCCCAGACTTTGACACAAAGCCCTTGATCCGAAACCCTAAGACCTTTGTCATTAGGGGTTTCCCATGTGAGGCCTTGACCCTCTTGTCGTTAGGTTTTTGCTTGTTTGGTAGTGGGGTTTACGGTTCAGCGTTGGCAGTTGCTACGGGGATAGGTTTTAAGAGCGATCGGGTTTAGGAATTGGGCGGTTAAGGGTTTAAAGCCTTGTATGTTGGGGTAGGACTTAGGGTGCTCCAGCAGCATGGCATCCTGGTTGGTGGAGCATTTGGTCGGCAGGCTTGGAGACCATGTGACGTAGTATAAGTGTAAAGATCTAACCTGCCAAGCCGGACTAATTGTGGCCGACAGCAGCCTTACTTTTGCAACTGTGCTGCGAGAGCACCGCTCCGCCACCAATCATCAACCTGAAGATTCGATTTGCAGTGCTCAAACCTAAACCTACTCCGTCATGCAAAAGTCACAAAACACAAAGCAAGGATCGAATGGACAGGTCTTGAAGAAGGAAGATTTTATAGACTCTAGACGTCGGGATGATTGGTGATACTATCCCAGTACAGTCCGCTTATACATCTAACTAGTAGGTTCTAGTATAGTACACCCCTAAACACTTGTCAAATTGCTGTATATTGAAGGCTTTCAGCAATTATCGTACAAAGCCCTTGCAAGACCCTGTAGAACGTCAAACTCTACTCACTTCACGGGATAAGACAGCATGTAAAACGAAGATGAGTTTCGAGGCTGGCTTTCTCGCGGGCCTTCTTTGGGATTCCTGCGCCTGGTGTCGCTGCAAAAGACCCTGTTCCAAATGGGGGGCTGACCAGGTCTCTTTTGCGGTTTTAGAGTGTACCTTTCATTCCAGTTTCGGGTTGATCCCATGTTTCCCTTAGTTACTGGCTTCGGGTGATGAAAGGTTCCGGCTTGGTTGTTTTGGTTCCCAGATTTCGGATAGTCTTGTAGGTCGATCATGGTAGATTCCTGGTAGATCGCTTACACGGTTCAGGGTTGAAAGTTCGGGGCTTGGGTGTGTCGGGGATTAGGTCTATCAAGGTTAGGTCAAAGGTCCGTTGTGAGTGCTTCTTAACCGTCGCCCCAACCCGAAACCCGTAGCTCTAAGCCCAAACCGGAGGCCCTAAATCTGTAGCCCCAAACTTAAGCCCTAAACTTAAGCCCCAAACCCGAAACCTCCGGGAAAGGAAGATGAAGGCGGCTTAGTAATTGGAATTATATATATTTTACTATGATTATATTAAGGAGCCCCCCAGAATAGTATAAGTAGTTATTTAGGCGCCTTTGCATGGTTTCGGGTGTTTAGGCTTTCATGGGGTCTAGGGGCCGGGGGCCGTTTTAAACCCAATCAGCGCAGGACCGAGCTGCGCGAGAAGGCACTGCAGGCACGCTGCCCCGATCGCCTGGTCCCAGAAGGTTGTCTGTATGACCTCGAAAGCTCAGGGCCCAAGCGCCAAAGGGACCCCCTAGCGATGCCTTGAGAGAGCCCGTAAAGGCAATTTAGGGACCCCTTTGGCTTAGGGGTACTTAGAAATACTTTTGTATTTGTTGGTTATTATAATCCCTAAGAAACAGCTAAAATTGTGGTTTTTGCTAGGGTTCTAAGTTCAGTATAGTTGGGTTTCGACCCGGGGCCAGGCAGTCACAGAGGCCTTGGCCACGTCCTTGCCATTCAGCGCTTCGAGCGTCTACATCGACTACGTCGCGCTCTCCTTAGGCAGAGGGGCTTGCGGGTTGAGGGTTTGGGGGTTGGGGTTATGCTAGGTGCGAGAACTTCCCAGAGAGCCCAATACCCCTTAATTAAGGAATATAGCTTAAATCATAATATGAAGCATTATAACATTATATAATTTAAGCCATATTCCTTAATTAAGGGGTATTGGGTTCTCCGGGTTCGCTTCAAAGCAGCGTTCTACAACACTGACTGTCGGCATGATGAAACCAGGCGTCCTTAAATCCTACCTAGACCCCAAGGAACCCACATTTTTAGGGTTCCTAAATATGATTTCCTTATATATATGAGTCCTTACAAAGGTAGGCCATTTGGGGTCCAGGTATACCCTAAACCCCAAATATAATGCCTTAAGCCATTAACACAGGTAGGCTCCTCCTTGTAAAGGAAGTCGGAACTCTTTCGGTGCCTGCAGCCGGAAAAGAGCCCAATCAAAAAACAAAAACCATATCCTAACAATCTTCGATTGGGCGTGGCTCCCTTTCGGGAGCGGCCCTACTACAATGCAGCAGGCCCCCAGAGAAAGAAGGATCCCAGCAAAGGCCTATAGCAGGATCCCCACATCAAGGCTCAGGGTTTCGGGTCAAAGGTTTAGGATTTAGACTGTTCAAGGTTTGGAGTTTCGGGTTTAATTAGGGGTGAGGGTGATACTCTATGTTTACGGGATCAAATCCTATACTACTCTGTCGGGTATGGGGTTAGAGCTTACAGGTAGGGTTTTGGATCAGTGCGGTTTTGCGGTTACGGGTTGGAGGTAGATAGGTTAGTTTTACAAAGTATGCTGCCATAGGGTCCAAGTACTCCCTATTATAGGACTTTAGCGCCTTTTTAGGTACCCAAAACCATAAAATAAGGACTGCTTGGACCCATATAGGGAAAACGTATTTCGTTCACCACGGTAATCTTTTAGCATAGCGGCCGGAGAAGTCTCCGAAGAAGCAAAGGACTTCTGAAATAGCGGCTAATGTATAATATACTCTACCCTAAGGCCCCAAAGTAGTTCCTTTTGGGGGTTCATGTTTAGAATCCTATCAGGTAATCCCAAAAAGGAACTACTTTGGGGCCTATGGGTAATCATGATATAATATTTAGAAGGGACCCCCACCCTGTAATAGTGACATAATAGGAATAAAAGAGTTCCTTAATATAATCTTTATAGTCACTATTACAGGGTGGGGGCCCCTTCTAACATAATATACTCTAGTTGTGATAAGGAACCCCCAAAACCCCATTCCGGCCCCTACATTATGGTCAATCATACCGTTTGATCTTCACAGACGATCTTCGGCAGCAAAGAGTCCAAGCAACTCCCGAACGGGTTTCTTTAAAGTGGAGTGTTTTTGTGGGTTCCCTAAGGGCCTAGGGTTTTTGGTGTTAACCCTCCAAAGCCATCCCTAGGCCTGCAAATTCTGATAGGGTTTAGGGTTTAGGTTGGGTACGGCCCCTATACAGTAAGAGTCTATAATAGGGCTACTATTAAGGTCCCAATATATCTATATTATTAATAATATTATTCAACTAGTACTGAGTGGGGGCCGTACCTAGGGTTTAGGGTTTAGGGGTTTAGGGCTTAGAGGCTTCAGGGCTTCCCGAAGATCACCTTGAGTACAGGTTTATGGTTGCGGCTGCATAGTCTAAGCCCCTTTCTGAAGAAAGCCAAGAATCTTACAGAACTTAAAACGGCTGCGTTTTTCTAAGCCTCTTCCTGAAAAAAACCAAGAACCCTATAGCACCCCCAACAGGAACCCTCAAAACGGCAAACTCCTGCAGGTTTCCTCGTGGGTGTGCGGCTGCGCGTGACGAAAGTGGAGGTTGTGCTCCAGCGCGAGCCTGATGAGGCCTAGTGAAGCTATGGAGTTTAGGGCTTAGGTTTCGGGTCCCTAAACCCTAAACCCCACGGACGCAGTTTTTCAAGTTGTGGTGCATCCAAAGACAACGACAATGCCAATGCGGCGCCAAGGGTGCAGTGCAGCGGAGCAGGTTTTTCTGGACAGGAAATTCGCGTATAGAAACTCGTACCGTTATACTGATTATGCGGTTGCATGCTCACATCTCAGGTCGAGCCACGACGGACGATCGAGCGGCAGCAACGGCTACCGCGGGCCCTTCAAGGACTACAGCATGTACCAGTATGATGGCAAGGGCGGCTACTACCTCCCGAACCAAGGAGGGTACGTGGACGCCTTTGGATGCGTGCATAGCTGGGAGGCGACGCTCCCGTCTTTCATTCTCTGCGGAGCAGGTTTTTGAGGAGGGAACTGGATGTACCGGTGCAGCCCATCGCCTGCCCCTCACTGCGGACACACCCTCAAGTCCACGGCCTGTCTTTGCGTGTACTTGGTGCATTTCCTTTCGAAGCCAGAGTGCGCTAGAGGAAAGGGCTTGTAGGGGTTTCAAGCTCGGCCTGTCTTTGCGTATGGTACATGTCCTCATGAAGACAGAGTGCGATTGTCAGATTGTTCCCAAACCCTACCTTAACCCTGAAGAACCTACTTTTTTGGGGGTTCCCTATTATGATTTCGATATATAAGTCCTTAAAAAGGTACCAGGTAGGTCCTTCAGGGTTAAGGTAAGCCCTGTAGGGATCTCCAGACCAGATGGTTTGCTTCTCGCCTAGTGGAGTGGCGCGAGATTGTGGGTTTAGGGCTGTAGGGGTCAGGGGTTGAAGGGTTTAGAGGTTGTTTAGGGTTTAGGGGCTTAGGGGTTTTGGCTTATAGACTTAGGGACTTTCGTTTGTTAACCAAACGGGCTCGAAGACCTAACCCTTAAAAGCCATAAACCCTAAACGCTAACCGCTGGACCCTAACAGCCCTGAACCTTGAAAGCAGTGCCAAGCCGGACACCTTAATCCTTGACAGCCCTAAAAGCCCTAAACCTTAGAAACCCACAAGCCCTAGACCCTAGCAGCCCTACAAACCCTCACAACCCTAACAGTCAGAAAAGCTCTACGCCTTAAAACCCTAAACCCTGAACCCTTTGCGGCTTCAATATAGGCCCCATGAACCTTAACAGCCCTAAAGGCTTAAACCGTAAGCCCTTACAGCCCCAGAAGCCGTAAACCTTTTTCGTTAACAGCCCCAAAAAGCTGAACAGAAGCAAACCCTAACAGGCCTAAAGAGCCCTCAGCCCGAAACCCTAGCAGGCCCAAAAGCCGTGAACCCTGAACCTGGAAAGCCCTGAAGCCCATACCTTAAACCCTAAGCCTGAAGATCCGAAACTGTAAAATTTAAAAAGCCCAGCCCCTAAACCCTGAACTGCAGCAACCCGAAATTCCCGAAACCCCAAACCTTAAAAGCCGTAACCCTAAACCCTTACAGCCCCAAAAGCCTTAAACCTTAAGCCAAAGCTTAAGCCCGCACCCGAAAAAAAGTTAAAACCAACTAAAAAGAAGCCCCTAAACCCTAAACCGTAGCAGCAGTCAAAAAGCCCCGAGCCCCACGTTATAAACCCTAAACCTTAACAGCCTTAAAGCCTATAGACCTTAAACCCTAATCTTTCAAAAGCCCAACAGCCCTAAAAGCCCTGATCCCCTACTTGGAGGGGCAGTTGACTTAGTAAGTGCGGTAACTCCATTTAGGGTACTTATAACTCTATACCTATTACTTACTAAGTGCCCTGCCAGCAAAACCCTAAACCGCTAACCCCTAAACCCTAAACCCTAAACCCTGAACCCTAAACCCTAAACCGCTAAACCCCTAACAGCCCTAAGCCCAGAACCCCACGGTGCATGTGGGAGGCGCGTTGGGCCAAGGCCGAGGAGGTGCGGGAGTGGTTGGTACTGGCTTCTGATTACTTAAAGGATCATGGGACTTAGTAACTAGGGTTCCTTAAAGGGCTCCTTTAAAGGGATCTATAGGGTTCCTTAAAAGGGATCTATAGGGTATAGGGTTTAGGGTCTACTTAAAGGATCATGGGACTTAGTAACTAGGGTTCCTTAAAGGGCTCCTTTAAAGGGATCTATAGGGGTTCCTTAAAAGGGATCTATGGGGTTTAGGGTTTAGGGTCTACTTAAAGGATCATGGGACTTAGTAACTAGGGTTATAATTAGGGCCAGGGCCACTATACTTATAACCCCAAGTACTTATCACCTTGCTTACTAAGTCCCATGATCCTCCAAGTATTAGATTCTTGATTTCTGGAGAACTTTCAGTCTTACGATTCCGCACCAACTTGTGCAGAACGTATATATATATATATATATATACATGTATATACATATACATACACGAAGATCAGTCTCTCAAAGCCGTGCAGGCCATGGAGCGCTCTGAACTTGACAGTGAATTCCAACATGCAATTGCTTATCAGTGCATAATACTACCCTCAGTCCAAACCGAGGTTTCACTATCCGAACGAGCTGTTGATTTCGAGGGTGGTAACCCTAAACCCTAAACCCTTCATCCGACCTAATTACCTAAAGTTCCTTTTAAAGAGATCCGTAAAGGGGTCTACAAGGGATCTATGATGGGCTTCTGTATTAGGGGCCTTAATAATTACCTATTCTATTTTGGGGGTTCCTTATAACTAAGGTACAATGGGCCCCAAAACCATATTCCAGTTATTAAGGCCCGTATAGTATCGCCTTACAGTCCTTATTCTCGAAAGTCGCTTGGAGTCATGACGGTTCCTACAACGTAGGGGTCTGACTAATTACCCGCCTTGTTCACTACTAGGCTGAAAGAATAACCTACAGCCCCCATCCTGTGTGACCCCATGCACCTGTGCAAGACTTCAGTTGGACCTGTAATGCCTGCTCCTCGCCTTCTTGACAAAGCCGAATTGGAGTTGGTGCTTGCACAAACAAAGAGTGGCAAAAGCTGCGGACGGGACGGCGCCCCCTACGAATTCTGGGCGGCGGTTTTACAGTCAGAGGCGGCTGAACACATGCTTGATTTCCTCAAAGATATGCTTCTTGGCAACCTTGACTATCCCCGGGATTGGCTGCTATCGGTCTTGCTGCCCAAGGTGAAGGAACCTAGACAGCCGAAGGACTTCAGACCCATTGTCCTTGCTGCAACGTTGAGTAAGATTTTCACGAAGACCCTTCTTCTGAGACTTATAGACCACTTCCGGCCGATGCCTAGTGAACAGCTCCCGTCACAACCGGGCGCACAATCGCTTGACGGCTCTGTACCAAGCCCAATACAAAATGTTAAGGCCCCGGCTCACTATATCCTGATAGAATCCCTTATAGGACCTTGTAAGGGGACTCACTAAAGGAATCCTTTTCCAACTATCGAGGCCCCCTTTTCTCTGCTGGCAGCCCGGTAGAAGTTCGATCTTCTCTCTACATTGCCGCAAGCAACAATCCGTAAACCCTAATATTGCCCTAAAACCCCGAAGCCCTACACCCTAGCTAAACTCCCAACCCTGAACCCCAAACCCTAAAGCCCTGAAGCCTTAAATGCAGGTCGCAAGGCTCTGAAACGACATGTCCTTCGCAACTCCGCAGGCCTAAACGCGGAAAGTCCCGTAGCCATACAGCGGTACTTTTCAGCCCCAAAGCCGCGAGACCTAATCGTTCTTTTATGGCGCCCTAAATCCCGAGTCCTAGACCTTGAAACCCTAATCCCTAATGGGTCCCTAATTTAGGAACCTGATTAAGACATCCTGGGCCCATAACCCCCAACCCTAATAAAGGCCCAAGGTTTCTTAATCAGGTTCCTACATTAATCCGATGATCTCCTACCTATAGTCTCCATTGTACTTCATTTTGTTGGTTGACCAGTTTTATGGCTGGGATCCTATAGTAGAGGTCTTGGTTAACCCAAAAAAGGAACTACAATGGAGACTATAGGTAAACCTCAAGGCCCTAATCCCCTAAAGCCTCATCCCCAATTAAACGCTAACTCTAAACCCTACTGCCTGGTAGTAGGGAAGGGGGGAATGGGTTATGGGGAGTACTACAAGAAGACCTCAAGGGATTACCAGACTACCATAGGGATCCACTCCCCCATTCCTTACTCCCTTAACCTTTCAACCTCAAACCCCTATAATCCCCTAAAATCGATTCCTTAATCACATACCCTAAACCCTGACCCTAATCCCTGAACCCGAAGCCCTAAACCCTGAACCCTGAGTTCCTAAACCCTGTGAAGGCCGTTCGCTCAGCGTACCGCCTGGCTGCAGCCGGTCAGGCCAGTTCAAAGCGAGGCGCAATCTGAGGATGAGTTGGTGATTATCCCTTCAGGGGTTCGTTTAGGGGTTCCTTTAAGGGCTCCTTTAAGGATTCTTGAAAGGTTCCTTTAAGGGAAGGCTCAGGGTTTAGGTCTGAGGGTTTAGGGTTGAAGGGGTCTCACCGTGTTATGGCATTTGGGGGGGTTCCTTTCAAGACATCTTTGAAGAATCTGTAAGGGTTGCATATTTAAGCGATGCTTGGAGCATAAATAGGGCTGCAGAGCTGGGGATGAGTTGGTGATGACACGTTTAGGGCTTGGGGTTGCTATCAGATACAGTCATTACCAACGTGGTTATTGATTTATTAATACTATTTACATAGGATCTGGAACTATGATCTTTGAAGGCATCTATACGAGCCTCTACATGGGTTGATCTTGGGGTTTAAAAGAAAGGGGCTTGGTAATTTTAACACGGGTTTGGAGGACTAGAATTACTTAGTCAGGCCCCTGTATTGCCCCACTTTGCGGATCAGGGACTTGGCGAGTAGGCTTATAAGTAAGGCAGCTCAAATTAGAACTACCGAAAAATTACGTATAACCCTAAACCACAGAAAACATACGGGAGTTTCAGAAAATCAGGGGACCTGATCATGGACCCTAAGTAGTAGTAGTAGTAGTAGTAGTAGTAGTAGTAGTAGTAGTAGTAGTAGTAGTAGTAGTAGTAGTAGTAGTAGTAGTAATAGTAGTAGTAGTAGTAGTAGTAGTAGCAGCAGCAGCAGCAGGAGTAGTAGTAGTAGTAGTAGTAGTAGTAGTAGTAGTAGTAGTAGTAGTGGTAGTAGTGGTAGTAGTGGTAGTAGTAGTAGTAGTAGTAGTAGTAGTAGATTCTACGGGCCGGGGAAGGGTTTTGCAGCGGTTGGGAAAGAAGGCATTGAGAGGTTTGTATTCGGGATGCGGGGTTTAGGAATTACTTGAAGGCTCGAGGGACTTAGTCAGTAGGGGATTACAGCATTATCGCCGAGAGGGTCATACCCCATCCGGTTTTAGGGTAATTATCTGGTTTTATGGTTCGGTTAGGCCCTACTGTATAGAAAAGTAGGTACCGCAGAAAGGGTAGGCCATGATCCTACGGATATTCTAGCCCCATACTGTAGCCTTCTATATGACCCCATGCGTCCACTGGTACACGAACCCAGGTACGTAGCAAGAGCTTAGATGCCCGAAAACCATTCAGAATATGTCACTGCGACATCACAATGCGTATTGCTGTACAAAACTAGCCTAAATCCCACACAGGGGCTTTGCGTGTGTTCAATTTTGGGTGTGCCAACGGACGTCCTGTGAGTGGGTGCTCCAACTACTGTACTTTGGACCTAAAGCGCCTTGTATACATCTATTTTGAGCCGAAGTATGTACTAGCTAGACACCTAGAGCATCAAGAAGCGATTTGTTGATCTTAAACATCTTGAACCAGCACAACATACCAGGGTCAGAGCATGATTAAGCCCGACCCGACGTAAACTGCCGTAACCTAGAAGGCCCTGGTAAAGGAAGCGACCCTACCAAAAAACAGGCCCACCCGCCCAAACAGAGAAACAAACATCAGACCGGGAATTGTCTTATCTGCAGGACTCGTGGCGAATGCAAAGAGACCGTCGCCGCCGACAGGCAGGATTCAGTGCTGGTCTTGCTGCTGTCTTCGGCCCATAATCCCACCCGAATCCTAAATCCTTAACCTGTCCAAAACCCTTGTACGTACCCTAAACCCCATCTTAATCCCGAGTCACTTACCCTTTTTCAGGACTTATGTATTGAATTCATTTTAGGGAACCCTAAAAAAGGTAGGTTCCTTAGGGTCCAGGTAAACACTAAAACCACATGAAACCCTGACAACCTTATAATCCTTGACTTGGGTCAGCACTTGAGATCTGAAATCTCTTGAAACGGGTTATAGAGCTTTTGCAAGGAATTAGGGCTTTGGGTTTAGGGTTTAGGGGGTAAGGGTTCATATCAGCTTTCTGATTCTAGTGACTTGATTCAGGTCAACTTCAACAAGGGTTCATATAAGGCATAAGGGTTTCATGAGGGTCTGGTAGAGTTGTTTCTCTTACAGATGGTAGAAGCTGCACTATGGTACCTGCAGTAGCCCATTGTCCAGGTAGTTCGGCGTCCATGTGCTTCGGGTTTGCCTGGTTGTCTTGAACCTCCGGCCCTGAAAGTTTGATCTTGCACTCGGAGCCCTCAAACCTGAAGCCTATAACCTTTACCTCACACCCTGACCCCTACAACCCTAAACCCCAAACCCTCAACTCTGAGCCCTGATGTTGACCTCAATGTAGACCCCTGACTAATCCGTTCCTACATACAGTCCCCGAAAAAAGGTAGGCCTATTTTGGGCCATGGGCAGTCTAGACCCTAATGTAAAGCACTGGTGGATACACCCCTCCCAAGCTCGGGCTGGTAAACGAGGGCCTTCCTTGCCCTGTATATGCAACCAGAAGTCCGCGACACGGCTTGGGGTTTAGGAAGTTTAGGGTTTTTGGGGTTGGCTGTTTATAAGGTGTAGGTTGAGGAAGTTTAGGGTTTGGACGCAAGTTGTGCCTTTCTTCCGCGGGAAAGACCTTGCTTAGCCCGAAAACACAGGTATCATCGCCAGAAACCACACTCAAAAAAACCCTTAGCGGGGCCTCAACGGAACCTTTACAGGACCCCTTAAAGTAACCTTCGTACCCTATCTAAACTACACCCTAAACTTTCAAACCCTAAACGACCTCAATCCCTAACACAGGTATGCTGGCCAGACTGGTGGATCCTTGTCGGCATCATCTACTATATAGGTGCCGGAATGCTTACCAATATTATTCTTCAGGTTTACAGTGAAAACCCTGTAAAAGAACCCCGTTCGGCGAGAGTAGGGTACCCTAAGGTTCTTAATTTCCATTACATGTGATTTTGCCGTTCGAGCAGCTAGGGTGGGCTCAGGTTCTTAACCACGTTCTTATCCGGACCGAGGTCTCGGGAAACTTACTTGTGGATTCTAAATTTCCTTGTGGGGGTGGATGGGCCATGGGGGTCTGGAAAATTTAGTATTCAATTCTAAATTTCCACAGCTCGTCGAAAGGACTCGGGGCAGAGGGCATGGCCAGAGACCCCCCAGAAAATTTACTTTTGGATTCTAAATTTCCTTGTGGGGGTGGATGGGCCATGGGTGTGGCTTGGGCCGGGGACCCCAGGGCCAGGAGGAGGCTGGTGTGGAAAATTTAGATTTGAATTCTAAATTTCCACGGTTTGGTCCTCGGGGATTGAAACAAAGACCTCCCGCAGCGGGGCCCATGCGGAACCACTGCGCTACAGGGGTGCTGTGCTGGATTGGTTTGTGTCCTTCTCAACTGGGCGAGGGGTCTTTGGGGTTTGGAGGAAGGGCTGGAAATTTACTTTTTGGATTCTAAATTTCCTGATGCCGTCTGTGTGGGTCGATGACCACAGGGCCAGGAATGGGCTGGTGTGGAAATTTAGATTCCAATTCTAAATTTCCACGTTTTGGTGGCAAGGGGCTCTGTTTCGGTGGAATGCGAGCTGCGGGCAGCCAGCGGCATGACACCGCCGGGGATTGAAACAAAATCCCTCGTCGCAAGGGCCTTTGCAAAACCACTGCGCTGCAGGGGTGCTGTACTGGGTTGGTTTTTGTTTTCCAAATTTGGGCGAGGGGTCTGTGGGGTCGGGAGGAAGGGCTGGACATTTACTTTTGGATTCTAAATTTCCTGCTGCCGTCGGTGTGGGTCGGAGCCTTCAGGGCCAGGAAGGGGCTGGTGTGGAAAATTTAGACTCCAACTCTAAGCCCGGAGCACAGGCAGGATGCCATCATACAATCTTCATGTTTGGGCAGAGGATTTCTTGATGTGGAAGGTTGGGAAATTTAGTTTTCGATTCTATATTTCCTGGTGAGGGAAAGCACCCAAAAAATTAAGAACTTGACCCGAAAAAATAGGGTACCCTAAGGTTCTTAATGTTGAGGCAACTTGAATCTGGTGAATTCCGCCTTGGGTAGGGGCTCAGGTTCTTAAACAGTGGGTTCTTATACAGTATTTTCACTGTACTTCTTACTATAACTGTGTACGAAACTACTAGAATGATAGCGTTCCTACACTGTTAATTTGTGGCTGGACGAGGCTGCGCAGTAGCTAAATATCAAATGAGAAGTCCCTGCAAGTGCTAGAACTACTACTACGTACGACGACGAGTACTACTACGACTACTAACTACTACTACTACTACTACTACCACTACTACTACTACTGCTATTGCTAATGCTACTACTACTACTACTACTACTACTACTACTACTACTACTACTGCTACTGCTACTACTACTACTACTACTACTACTACTACGACTACTACTACTACTACTACTACTACTGCTACTGCTACTGCTATTACTACTGCTACTACTACTACTACCACTACTACTACTACTACTACTACCCCACCCCCCAACACCCTCAACAAGGAAATGTTCATCGCTGGCACACATGTCTCGGTAGACGAGGCGGGGCTGGGAAGGGCTGGGTTTTCGGGGCAGAAACAGATGCAGAAACAGATGGGTAGTTGTCAAAGTTATGGCCCTTTTTGGGCGGACCCCAAAAAGGATCATAATTTTGACAACCACTCAGATGGAGCATCGAGTTAGTTTAATTTGTATGTGCAATATACGCACGTCTCTGTAAATCTGCAGATGTATATAGGTTTAGGGCTTAAAGCCCTGAGATGGGACGGTACATTTATATCATTAAATACATACTATATAGATACACAGACATGCATGCATACATACATACACACATACTGACTTACCTACATACGTAGATATATATATATATATATATATGTTTGTACAAAGGTGTGTGCGTGTGTGGAGCTATGTATAGTTCCTGATACCGATATAGGCAGATATTGCTAAGGCTTCGGGGGAGAAATAGATGCATGTTTATAGATATCTGTCCTAAGCATGGCCCTACTTCTAATCTAGCAAACACATCAAAAGGTCGTTCAAGAGCTCTTCCCGTGGACCTTTTTGCGGGTTAGGGTCTCGGGTGTAGGGTTTGGGGCTAACGTACCAGAGTGAAGGATTTATAGTTAAAGGCTTATTGCTTCAGGGTTTGCTGTTTACGCTTTTAGTTTTTCGAGTTTAGATTGTAGGGTTTGGGGTGTCAACATGCACAGCGGTTTGGGCTTTTTGTGAGTCAAGGGAAGCCATGGATACCTGAATTGGAAGCCAAAGAATGCACCACCAAATTTGCGCGTGTAAGGTTTCGCACTTTCAAGTCAATCATATGGGTGGTTGTCCAAATTATAGTCCCTTTTTGGGTGCCCTAAACATTCGGTGCCGTACTATATTAGGGACCCAGAAAGGGACTATAATTTTGACAGCCACCCATATGAAGATTTAGACCCAGTGGCCCGTGGAAGCCATGTTCCGCAAGCGATCAAGGCTTCGGAACCCGTATTGCACTCAAGATTGGACAAGGAAAGCCAACAACCCCAAAGTCCTAGGCCCCCGAACTTGCGCTTCCTCTTAAAGGGAACTCCAGAAAGTTGGAATATGGTTTCAGGGTAGGATACCTTATAAATAATTTACCATAAAGGGTTTAGGATAATCATATTCCAACTTTCTGGCTTTTACCTTATCCCCTTCTCTTTCCACCTTCGTAAAACAGCTATACCAGAGAAACTGACATCCAAACTCGACAGGAAGGAGGACAGAAAAGCGTCCCTGCAACAACAAGCACACGCAGGGGCTTTGCGGCACATCATACAGAGCCTAGTTACGTAGAAACTAGGGGGGCGCGGCATTGCCGTGTATTCCGAAAATCGAGAAAGTATTCCTCCGTAATTAACCTTAAACCCCAACCCTGGTCCTTATGTCAACCCTACACCCTGCCACTGCACTTAAAAAAAAACAAAAAAACCCGAAGCCCTAAGCCTGAAAAGCCAGGTCGTGGTGGTCTTCCAGAGTCCCACAGGGGATGAGGAGCTGAAGCTTTGCCCCTCGGAGCCCAAAATCTTAGGGGTACTTAGAAATACTTTTTTTAATTTTGGGTTATTATAATCCCTAACAAACAGCTACAGGTATAATTGTTGCTAGGGTTCTAAGTTCAGTATTGAAATGGGGAGAAGCCTTGAAAGGATTCTATAAGGTATGTATGAGGGTTCTACAAGGGATCTATAAGTCTATAAGGGTTATGGAAGAGGTTTATGGGTTGTTTAAGGCGCGCCAGTTTTTAATATGGGGCTTATGAGGGTTCGGGAGCAGCCTGGTCAAAGGGACCCGAGCACGCAAATAGCCCAGTGAAATGGGGAACGGGGTTCTTTCGGGCTGAGTTTTTGTTTTAGGCTTCTGTGAGGCTTTAAGTGCGCAGTTAGTGTGTTTTTCGGTGCCAAAAGCCTGTTTTCGAGTATATTATGTGGCACCCAATGCCCTGCTGAATCGGATCCGCTGGGTAGTGCGCCTCCGGGGGACTTGCAAACCTAACCTTGCAAAGCTCTGGACGCCTACCGAGAACTTTTGAACCTGCTCGTTTGCACAGCAGGAGGAACTTCCAGAAACGGTTTAGGGTTTAGGGTTGGCATTTTCGCAGTGCCAGCACTAGCCCTGCAACACAGACAGAAACTGTGCGATCCCAGTGCAGAACATGAAATCCTACAGCCACGTCTAAGCATTCATTCAGCCGCTCATGGCAATCCACCCACGCCTTCCGGATATCCCAAGTTTCGCAGTAAAATCCAGAGCTTATCAACCCAGAGCTCTTCATCTTGTTCCCTACGACCCTACGAGCCTCTTAAGGAGGCAAGCGACAAACCCTTTTTTTCCTAACAGCTACACGAAACTTTAACTAGGCTGTTCAGTGATCTACTTTTTGCCTTTACGTCGCTGGGCTCCTATTGAAACATGGCTAGGCTGTAAGCTCAACTTTTCAACTTTTGGGGTTCTTATAGGGTAGTTTATTCTGAAAGTTTCAACTTTTATTTCTTTGGGTTTTGGGCCAGTTCCAGTGGGTTACCGGACAGCTTAGTTTAAAGGATTTGCTTAGAAGGTCTAGCGCCCTTTAGGACAAATCCGAGGTTTCGGCCTACCCTAAACTCTGAACAAATTTTGCAGATTGAAAAGTCCACCAAAAAGACTAGGGTTTAGGATTTAGGGTTGATAATGGACCCTTAAACCCTAAACCCCGAACCCTCAACCCTCCCCCCTAAGGTAAAAGCCAGAAAGTTGGAATATGATTATCCTAACCCTAAACCCTTCCCCCGAAGCCCTGAGACTCAAGAAGAGATGAGGTTTCGGCCTCGAGCTGAACACCTCGCGGTCTTGGAAGATTGAGCTGAGGCAATTTGGGGTTTAGGGGTTTGGGTTTAGGACTTAGGGTTTGGGGCTTGGGCTCTTACAGGAGCTTCCTTTCAACGGGGTTTCTTTAGAGCACAATGTAGGGGCTCTTTCAAGTCTATAAGCGGCTGCTTTCTACATTCTACAGGGTTTCTATGCGGTTTTTGGGCTTGTTGATCATTGCAACGGTGTAGTTAGGTTAGGGTTTCAGCAGGCTTCGTCCGAAACCTTCTACAAACCCTACTGGGTTGAGGGGTACATGGACTCTTAGGGTGGCCTTCATACTTAGAACGGGCTTTACGGGGTTCTGTTGAAGGGGTCTAGGAGGGATCTATAGCGGTAATTACTATAATATAGGTGATGCTTCTCTTGCAAATCGAGCACCAGCCCAGTGCTCGCCAGAATATCCCGGGCAGGGCACTCGAAGCAAGATGGGGCGTCAGTAGAAATCGTAGCGCGGGCAACAGCCCGGACCTGTACTAACCGAGGTGTGCATATCCCCTTCTAATCCATATTGTACATATTTATACACGTGCTGTTCCTTTATATCATGATCATACTGTTCATGTCATACCAGACTATATGTTACACCCACACATAACTAAATCTATATATATATATATGTACATTATGTCTGTACGTCGACAACTTTATTATACACAAACTTATCAGACGTTTTTGTTCTCAGGTCTGAGGCCCCTAACTATTCTCAGCCCACAGTCACAAACCCTCCGTCGAATCCCGAAACCCCGAAGAAACCTCGGCTGCGACGGACCAAGTCAGAACTTTCCTAAAGATGCTCAGCGGTTCAAGCCTTGCGCAACAGACCGGCAAAGCTAGAGACAGTTCTCGATAATTCCTGCAGCCTCCAATGCTGTTGCTTCGTTTTGGTTACCCAAGCTTAACGGCGAAAGAAACCGTAACCAGTAGAAACGAATCATACGCATGGGAAAGCAGAGGGAAGTCCTGCCCTAAACCCTGTAGCCTCAACCCTAAAACCCTAAACCCTAAATCTAAAACCTTGTAAGCCCTAGACTCTGAACTCGAAACTCAATTCAACCCTAAAGCTGAGGGCTAAATCCCTAAACCCTACAAAAGCTCACATCCTCTAGAGCCTTTATAGTAGAACCCTTTACGGAAGCGATGTAGCCAGGGTTTGGGGTTTGGGTTTTAGGGTATCAAGGAGCCCTGAAGCCTTCATCCTCCAAGTCTGGAAAAAGCCAGGGGTACGCACCTAAGTGCGCACGCCACGCTGCGAGCCGAAGCTGGAGGTCCTCCGTGTGGTCTTCCCGACTTTTCGTCTGGGCTTCGGAGTACCATACTTTTGATGGACAAAATCCTGCATGACCCTAAGGACACTAAATATGGGAACTATGGTATATTCCTTATAATGGGTAATGCAGGATTTTGTCCATCAGCAGTACTTCAATACCTTTTCTTAAAGGAACAATTATGAGAAAAAAAGTTTGTACTTTTTTTCCCTGGTTACTTCAAAGCCCAGTCGTCATAGTGTATGCAGTTCTGGTTAATCTACCTATAGTCTCCATTGCAATTCTTTTTTTGGTCTAACATATTATATAGTAAGGATCCTATAAGGTAACCCCAAAAAAGGAACTACAATGGAGACTATAGGAAACTTCAGGTTAGCCTGAGGTCACAATTCTGTTCCAGGGTTGGCAATCGGGTTCCGGGCTTAGTGATTTAGGTGTAGGTTTCAGGGTTTCGGGACCCTAAACCCTGAATCCGCTTTCCTAAACCGGGGGCGGTTTTCGGCTTTCACTGTGCAGGACCTGACAAGAACCCCAAGGGTCCAAGTACCTAATAGTCATATAACCTCCAAAATCCTACGGTGAGAATCTTAAAACATGTGGGGGGCGGGCAACCCAAGATCCAAACAGAGGTTGTATGAGACACCTGTTTTAATCCGTATGTTTTAGCTCCGGGTGGTTACTTCCAGCCCTCCAGCCTTCCAGCCTGCCAACCCTCCAGCCTTCCAGCCTTCCAGCCCTCCAGCCTTCCAGCCCTCCAGCCTTCCAGCCCTCCAGCCTTCCAACCCTCCAGCCTTCCCTCCAGCCTCCCAGCCCTCCAGCCGTCCAGCCTTCCAGCCCTCCAGCCTTCCAGCCCTCCAGCCTTCCAGCCTTCCAGCCCTCCAGCCTTCCAGCCTTCCAGCCCTCCAGCCTTCCAGCCTTCCAACCTTCCAGCCTTCCAGCCTTCCAGCCTTCAGCCTTCCAGCCTTGCAGCCTTCCAGCCCTCCAGCCTTCCAGCCTTCCAGCCTTCCAGCCCTCCAGCCTTCCAGCCTTCCAGCCCTCCTCCCTTCCAGCCTTCGAGCCCTCCAGCCCTCCAGCTTTCCAAGCCTCCAGCCTTCCAGCCTTCCAGCCTTCCAGCCTTCAGCCTTCCAGCCCTCCAGCCTTCCAGCCTGTTGAAAGGCTGGCGGGGCTGGAAGGCTGGATGGAGGCGCTGGAAGGCTGGAAGGGTGGAAGGCTGGAAGGCTGGAGGGGCTGGAAGGCTGGAGGGGCTGAAACTGGAAGGCTGGAAGGCTGCTGGAAGGCTGCTGGAAGGCTGGAAGGTTGGAAGGCTTGCTGGATGGCAGGAGGGGTTGGAAGGCTGGAAGGCTGGAGGGCTGAAGGGCTGGGAAGAGGGCTGGAGAGGCGAAGGTTGGAGGACGGAGTCTGCGGGCTGGAGTCTCGTGTTGTTGTCTTTCCGTGTGTTTTAAAATTGGGCGGCCCAGAGACAATGCCCACGGAAGTAGTATGACACACCTGTTTAACTTGTTTAGATGTCCGGGTATTTAAAAATCATCGCCGTAACCTACATAACTACTATCCTAAAACTGAGTACCTAATTATCATATACTCACAGAAACAGTAGCCTACATAACTACTATCCTAAAACCGAGTACCTAATTATTGGGTCCTTTGGGACCCTTGGGGGAAGGTTCAACTGCGGGCTGATCTATGCTAAACGAGGTGCTCCTGACATCTTAGGGTTTAGGGTTTAGGGTTGAGGCCTAATAGGATGTGGGGCTTAGAGTTTAGGGCTTAGGGTTGAGGCTTAATAGGATGTGGGGCTTAGGGTTTAGGGTTTAGGGTTGAGGCTTAATAGGATCTGGGGCTTAGGGTTTAGGGCGTAGGGTTGACATCTCCTGACGACTGCTCCACCCATGACCCTCTTAGGGGCCTTGATACCGAAACCATCACAGGAACCCTTACCCTAAGGGTCCATGTACTCATACAGTATATACATTGGCCTTAATGTAGTCCCTATATAGGTACATTGGGCCCCATGTATCTCGATATGGGTACATGGACCCTTAGGGTTATAGAAGCCCTTCTTCCTTAGCAGGACAGGGGCTCCTTCTGCCCACTGCTCTGGCCTTGGACGGCCACCTGCCGCGAGTGCTACGGACGCTGTTGGCCAGCCCGGGGAGGGGAACTGCGTCAGATGGATGGGGGGGGGGGGGTTTAGAGTTGGCGTTTAGGGTTAGGGTTCAGGTTTTAGGGTTTAGGGTTCAGGGTTTTTAGTGTTTGGAGTTCAGGGTTTAGGGTTCGGGTTTTGGGGTTCAGGGTTTAGGGTTTGGGGTAGATGAATATCATGTAGAGATTGAATCCTTCAGGGCCCAAGTACTTAATAATGCAGGATTTGGGTGCCTTTTTAAGTACCAAAAACCATAAATCAGGAGTACTTGGACCCTTACGCAATATGCGTTAACAACAATGGAGACTTGCAATAGTAACAATAACAAGCATTATAGTGATTGATGGGAATGGCGTTGAAGAGTGAATCATACCCTTCTGACTATTGGTTGCGATAGACAGGCTCGTAATAAAATCGATTTTTCGTATGCTTTCATGCTCGTTATCACACTCCCAATCAATCACAGCTTTGGGATTACAGTGGGGCCGAAGGGGTTGAGGACTTTTCTAGGTCCAGGGTTTCAGGCTTAGGGTTTCTGATGTAGGTGTTTATGGTTTTTGGCGAAGCACCTGTCATGAAACCTAGAACTTTAATACCTAGACCCTGAACCTTGAACCCCAAGCCTCAAAGCGCTAAACTAACAACCTTGAGCAGAGGATCCTGTACCTTAAACCATGAACCCCGAACTTGAAAGCCAAACCCCTAATCCGAAGACGGTTTTACTGACTACGGTTCTCAGAAGCCATGAGGATGAGTTCCGTCGTCGAGAACTTGGGGCTTGGGGTTGAGTGTTTAGGGTCCAGCTTAAGGGTTCAGGATTGAGGGTTTAGTGTCTGGGTAATTAAGGGTTTGGGGTTGAGGGTGGAGGGTTTCGGGTCTCGGGTTTTGAGGGTTTAGGGCTCAGGGGTTCGCCCTTGTGTACTCAAATTCTCAAGGGTTGGGGAAGAGTCGGCCGGCGGCAAAGGCAAGGAGCAGTCCACAGGAAAGAGCAAGGAGTGGGTGGCACGATTGGAGGGCAAGTATGCGCTCGCCAAGAGCATTCTGCGACCCTACGCGGACGAACGAGGGAAGGCGGTGTACGCCCAACATTATTCGACAAGCACCACATGCGACAGATTGTCGACACCCGCAACTCGGAGCTGGCACGACGGCCCGGGATCTCGGTGGTGAGCAGCTCCGCGATGAAGCCTTGAATGGAGCCCGTGTATGGTCCTTGATCGAATTTGCGTAGCAGGGCTATCATGGGCGGGTGGCTAGGGGTCTGATGTGAGTTTGGGAATGGCTTTCGAGGTGCAATGGGTAGCTGAGTTCCGTTGATAGGTAGCCCGTTGGGGTTATCCTAGTTGTCAGCCTGATTGCAACAGTTCGCTGGGCCTTCAAGTGGCCTATACCCAGAGAGCCCAATACCCCTTAACTAAGGAATATAGCTTAAATCATAGTTTGAATCCTTTTCTTGTTTAAGCCATATTCCAAAAAAATAAGGGGTATTGGGCTGTTTGGGTAGGCCCAGACTCCGAACCTTCAGGTTCACGAAGTAGTTCCCACTCCATGCATTGTTGCTCAGGCCCTCGATCGAACCCTGAACGCTAGGGTATGTGCCCCTACATGGCCGATGTAAGCAGCAATCTCCTTCAGCCGGAAACACCAGTAACGTATCACAGGGGCCTTAATGGACATTAGAATAGGCTTTGGGGGGGCCCAGTATACCATCGTTATAGCAAGGAGCCGCCAACATAGTACAGGTAACTATTATAAGGCCCCTACATTCGCCTGAGTTGCTAGTATGGTAACCACCAAGTTGTCGTTCTCATGAGAACCCTGAACCCTAGCCCCCCCCCCTTTGTTACACTGGCAGATGCCAAAGCGCATGCCCAACAAGACGGCTATTCTGGATGCGTCTGCAAGGGAACTCAGATGTTAACTTTGCATTGTGCCTCGTTGCTTGCTGGATTGGGCTTCATTCCCAAACTCTTACCGTACTACCACAACGAACTGTAATAATGTCCTATAATTACCATGCCCATATCATGAGGTACCGCGATATACTGTAATATGTTACAATAACCCATTCTCCAAAATCCACAACAATAAATCGCCAACCCCACCCAAGTTTGGGTTGGACACGGGTGGATGATCGTTCTTCTTCTTACCCAGAGGGTCCATATACACTACTATTATGGACTTAGGTTCCCAAGACCATAATAGGATATAATAGGCATCATCGTTTAGGGCTTAGTTCCATAATGGTAGTATATATGGAGCCTTATACCCAAACACCTTAAACCTTAAACCCTAATGAGAGCCCTTGAAGGAGCCCTTAAAGGGCTCCATAATACTGCTGATGGACAAAATCCTCAATGCCCTAAGGACTCTAAACTATGGGAACTATGGTATATTCCTTATAAGGGGCAATGCAGGATTTTGTACATCAACAGTAGCAGTGTTTTTGGACCCTCTGGGTTACCTCACAGCTTGAACGGCAGATTTCTCTCAGGCCTCTGCCAGTTCACTCCCAAAGGGCCCTAAGTACCTATATACCATTTCTTAAAGGGATCCATAATAGTTCTATGAAGGGTTTCGGGTTTAGAGTTTCCGAAGATTAGGGGTACCTCATTTTCGGGTCCTTGTTATAAGGATTCTATTATTTAGGGTACTATCCTAGGGTCCCCTATTTTCGGAAACTCCCATGTACCTTTTACGGGTTCATGCATGAGCTTCGAGTCCAGCGTCCCTTTAAGGGTTCCTAAGTACCTATATGGTAGAATGTCGGATTTTTAGAATAGGAGTTACTATTATGGTTTGGGCAAGTATCCCGCATACAGGCCCTTAGAACCTTTTGGGAACATAATGCAAGAAGCCCAGAGACTTGTATAGTATGTCGTAGGTTGCTGGGATGTGGGCTACATCAAAAATGTTTGACGGTGTAAGGAACATCACCCTAGATCCGAAACCCGAAACAATAGTGGACTGGGCTTCCAGGTCATTGTTGCAGCACATTAGCCCCTGCCGAGTCGCTGTGTTTGACACTAGCATGGCCGCCGAAATAACTACTACTATTTTGGGGCTCCTGGTTATAGTCTTCGAATAAACCAAAATCCGTAATTAGGCTGTTCAGTGATGCACTTTGTAGTTTTCGTGTCTTCGTCTATACTTTACCCTGCACCGAGGCGCGGCCGAGCACTGGATCACGCGCTGCTTGTTATAATTCTACTATAGAGAAGCCTAAAACCCTAGTTATTCTGTATTATTCTAATCCTTAAGGCCCCTATAATATACCCCACTATAGCAACCCATATGGGACTGAGCACGCTGTGGCTCGATCCCTACCTGGGGAGATTGCGCAGGAGGCATCGCTGCCACGCACGGCCGGGCATCTTACCTTTGGTTAGTAGGGAATGGAGGAATGGGGTACAATTATAACTACTATTCCTACCATATTACTACCATATTACTATCATATAATCATATAACTATCATATAACTACTATTAATAATTACTACCATTCTTCCACTCCCTACTAGCCAAAGGTAAGGCATGGCGACCGAGAGCATCGACTGGAGTCGTGGCCGCGATTTGCCGATGCTCGACGCAGTCGTCCTCGACCAGCGTGGCACGACCCTGAAGCCCTGAACCCCAAGCCTTACAGCCTACAACCGCATAAAATTTTTGTAGAACCCGAATGGGGAGAAGGGCAGTATCCCAACATCGACAGGGCTTCAACGCACGAGTAGCCCCTAGCATCCTTTTTGGATGTTCAGCAGAACCGGCGAAAGTATGGCGAAAGGTTTAGGGTTTTGGGCTCGTTCATAAGTACCTTCCACCCATAGAAACATTCATGGCCTTCTACAACCTTTGAACCCTAAACTCTTTAGGTGTTTCTTTTGGACTTTAAGTCCTGTGTATAGCAGTCCTATTGTACCGAAGCCTAACTTGGATCAGTACAAGGTTATTTCTTGAGCGCTCCTTGTTATAATCCTACTATAGTGGGGCCTAAAACCCTATTCTAAGTCTTAAGACCCCTACATTGTAGTACCCTTATAGATCCTGTATGGACCCCCTTAAAGGGAACCCTATTCTAATTATTAAGGCGCCGAATAGGCGGCCCTCTACCCAGGTGGATCCTGTGTCGCTGCTTCTCTGCCCCGCTGGTGCGAAAGCGCTGTGCAGAGCTCAGATGTAGGGACTCCAAAAGCACATCAGAATAGGCATTTTATGGGGATATCCCTACCTTATTGGCCTTCCTTTTCAGGGGGTTTATATGGGATATCCCTATCCTAATGTTTGCTTATGTGTTTTTTCTGGGGCCCTACAGATGTCGTCGCCTGTGCCCTTTGAGCTTCCCAGAGTCCCAGAGTCTCCGAAGCCCCCTACAGTAGAAGCCCAAAAGTTGGAAACCCCATGGCCTCAATCCTTAAGAGTAATGTATAGGGAGTCCCAGCACTATTTGGCCTTGATCCCGGTTTCCAACTTTATGGGGTTTAGTCTATAGGGTTTAGGATTTAGGAGCCTCCAAAACCACTTTATTAGGGAATATACCTTAAATTTTCGTGGGATCGCGTATATGAGTTGAGGAATATCCCTTAATTAGGAGTCTCTGGGTTGTAGCCCGAGAAGACTACCTTCTAGGGCGGTTCTTTGATATGGTTTCTGTAATATAACTCCTTTTAAAGGTAGGTCGTCCTTTGAGCCACAGGTAGTGATTAGGGGCTTCCCTAAACCCTAAACCCATCTAGGTTAGAAGCTGCCCCCACCCTGCAATAGTGACTATAAGGATTGTATTAGGGCCCTATAATATTCCTATTATACCACTATTACAGGGTGGGGGCCCCTTCTAACATAGAGGGTTTTGGGGTTTGATTAGGGCTTAGGGCTTTGGATTTCGTTTGGGTTACGGGTTCGGGGTTCAATCAAGGCGCATGGCTCAGGGCTTTGTGCAGTTTGGATTTAGTTCGGATTTAGGGCTGAGGGTTTTGGGTGTAATTAAGATTTAGTAGCTGAGTGGATACACTTTACACTTTCTGGGATAATATCACCCACTATAAAACCAAAAGTGTACACTTTTTGGTGGCTTATGTACTCAGCAACTAAGAAGTTAGGGGTTCAGGACTTCTGGTATTGTTTGGGGTTCAAGGCTTATATAGGCTTGAGGGCTTGGGACCCTGATACCCCAATCATAACCCTACTTATGACTGACTTACTAAGTCTCCTGGGCCTCCAAGAACCTTAACCTCTCAAGACTCTACTTGTCTGTAGGGTCCCTTTAAATTGGTATATTGTAGGGTTGATAAGAGGAACCTGCCAACAAGTAGGGAACCTATCAAATGGTAGGAGGAACATACCAAAAAGCAGCTTATGGTAGTTCAAGATAGTTACTTAGCGGCTCCTGCTTACCAGGGAAAAGGGTTCAGGTTCGCTAGGATTTCAGAAATTGTCAGGCACAGTGTACAGCCCTTTCAGGCACCACGAATGAACAGCTGGATCGTATGAGGGACCGGTCCAGCTCGCTTGGGGTTCCAGGATCGGATAGCTCTGTTGAAACACGTTTTATGAGAGCCTGAACCATAAACCCTTGTTTGCTTTCCGTAAACCCCTTTTGAAGGAACCTCTCTCCTAACTATTCAGCGTTAATAGTTAGAATGAACCGGACCTTTAAACCGTACACCGTACACCATTAAGGCCCCTCTAGTTGGTAGCCGGGCCATGGAGCCCTAAGGCTCCATGTGCCCATATGGTATATGCTTACGCCTCGAAGGGGTTTTTTTATGTAAGTACTTTAAGGCCTAAATATATGCTGTATTATAGCATATACTTAGGCCTTGAAGTACTTACATAAAAACCCCTTTGAGGCCTAAGTATAAATGTCTACATGGAGCCTTCGGGGAGTGTGACCGACAGGAACAGCATCAGCGACACCATGGCGCGCTTCGGGATCTGGAAGAAGGCTCCGGGATCATACTTAGAGGCCCAGGGGACTTAGTAAGGCCTCCTTAGAGGGATCTATAGGGTTCCTTCAAGGCTTAAAGGGATCTATGGGGTTTAGGGTTTAGGGTCTACTTAGAGGCCCAGGGGGCTTAGTAAGGAGGTTCTAAGCAGAGGTTTAAGTACCTTAAATGGAGTTACCCCAATTTCAACCCTAATTACTCATATAACCGACAACATAAATCCCCTGGGCCTCTGGTTGTCAACGTCATTGTCCATTCTGGGGTACCCCAAAAGGACCTTGATTTTTGACAGCCACCCATACGCCGCGTTCTGGGGGTACGATGTTTTGCACTTGTTGTTTTGACCTTTTCCCTACTAGAACCATTATAACATGAACGTGTATACATGTTTCTCCCTGGTTACTTCAAAGCCCAATATGGGGTTCTGCATGATTACCAAGACCATTCCCTACAACTCATTATTTCAAGTTGAATCTACGTAACTAGGATGCCCAGTAGTACCCTTATTCCCCTTTTGTAGTCCTAGGCTCCTTATAAAGCTACCCAATACCAAGAAAGGAGCCCTTCTTACTCCCAAGTTCCTGGGCATCCTAGGTGAACAAAATGAAGTTTTGAAGTATATTCCTTAATTCCCTTATAGAACCCCTATAGATCCCTTTCAGGAGCCCTTTAAGGAACCCTTTAAGGAGCCCTTTAAGGAGCCCTTTAAGGAACCCTTTAAGGAACCCTTTAAGGAACCCGGGCATCCTAGGTAACATCTCAAGGAGGAGCCCAAAGGGCTCCAAGTGCCCGGTAGTCATACTTGGAGGGTCGGGGGGACTTAGTAACTATAAGGGGTTCCTTAAGGGCCCCTTTAAAGGGATCTAGAGGGATTCTATAAGGGTTTAGGGTTTAGGGTTTGGGGGACTTAGTAACTGGTTATGTTAGGGACTTATAAGTACCATAACCCCAATTAGTAGGGTCCCTTTTAGGGTACTTATAAGTCTACTTACTACCTACTTGCTAAGTCCCCCGACCCTCCAAGTATGGTTTTTTTTCCAAAATAGGGCACCCTAATAGAGTACTTAAGAACCCTTAAAGGGACCCTGAACTTCAAGCTCTTGCATGAACCCATAAAAGGTACATGGGGGTTTCCGAAAATAGGGCACCCTAATATAGTACCTTAACAAGTAGGATCCTTATTACAAGGACCCCCCAAACTAAGGTACCCCCAATTTTCGGAAACTCCCACATACTCTGCCGGATAGTTTCCTACATAAATACTATCCGAAACCTGTGTAGCTATTAATTGGGTCCTTTGGGCCCTTGGGGTGCGACTCCGAGCGATGATGCAGGGGTTGCAGTAAGGGAGACGAAATTTCGGGTTAGTCTCCGAAGAATTGCTTACTAGTTGGTTTTTGGTGGTGTAGGCTGCTTTTTTTGACTTGGGGCGAGCGGATGGATGCGTGAAAAACCTATGAAGGTTGCCATGCGGCATCCGGGTACTTGTTTAGTCGGATCTGTGTTTTACATCCAAATCCCGCTGACATGCCCAACTCCGACTATGTATGCCTCTTCCCTCCAGTCTGACCCACATGAAGCTGCCTGGCTGCGGAATTTTGTAAACATCCTGGCAATCCATTCCCAATGCACGTGATGATGTAACTTCCCTACCAGCCAGCTCTGTACTACATAGATTGGAATTTGTTGTGCCATACAGGATCCCGTATTCCTTCATGGACGCATTACATGCTATGAGGGTAAATGGACCCACAGGGGGGTTGCCACAGACAGGCTAACGAAATTAGTCCCCCAGGAGATCGAAGACGTCGAAGACCGCGACCGCATGTCGCTGACGGCGTCCGACCTCCGAAACTTTATTGTGCCTTGGGCAAGAATAGCGGTAGACCTCTGATTATCCCTAGACCTTACACACCCTGTCCCGCCTCAAACTGGATTGTAACCAAATATTTGTTCAAGGCCAGGTGGTTTCTGAGTCATGGGGCTACATGAACGCTCAGGCATGCTTAGTTTTGTAATCCTTGATAGAATCCTTGCAGAGCTCTTAAAGCACCCTTCAATGACCCCTTTATTGGCCAATGGTTTTTATCACGAATTCCAAATAGAGCCCAATCTCTAAACTTTTAGTTTCCCAAGACACCAGCATAGGGCTCCATGGTGGCGGAGCCTTCCCCGGCCTCAGCCCATGGGAAGCCGACTTAAAAGAAACGATCAGCAAAGTGCCGTGGCTTTGACCCTAAGGCTCCATGTAGCCATATAGTATACACTTAGACCTCAAAGTACCTGATTGGGGCCGAGCTAAGGCCTTAGGTTGAGCGGCCCGCAAACCCCCTGGCCTTCCTCGAGAGATGTAGCTGGTCCTGGAAGGGGCCCATGATACTGTACATAGAATAGGGAACCCCCAAAATAGTGTAGGTAATTATTAAGAATCCGGCTTCACTCCAAAAAAGCAATGCGGAGGGTTTAAGTTTTGCGGTTGGGGGTTTGATTAGGGTTTAGGTTTTGCAAGGATGTGTTGGCAAGCAGAGAACAAGAAGCAGAGTCCGAGTGGCTCGGAGTGCGACCTGAAGATCAGCTCGGCGGCCCTGGAGGGTTTAGGGTTTAGGGTTCAGGGTTTAGGGTTTAGGGTTTCGGGTTTAGGGTTTAGGGTTTAGGGTTTAGGGTTTAGGGTTTAGGGTTTCGGGGGGCTCAGCGAAGCAGGCGGAGGTTATTTGGTCAATACCTTCGTCCCTGCGAAGCTGGCGGAGCGGCGCATGTCAAGAAGACCCACCGTTTCAGAGGCCTAGGACCCGGAGTAGGCCCTTATTCCCTTTTTTTTGGGGGTTCGGTTCCCTGACAACACCCTTTAGACCAAGAAGGGCACCCTTTTTATTCCTAGGTTACTCTTAGGTCTAGAGGCCGATTTCAAGTCAACTTCATACAGCTCCAGGACGAGCAGAAGCGCCAAAGTGCCCAGGTTTGGAAAGCTGGAAGAAATTAACCCCGAACTTGGAAGGGCAGGTGTGTATTGGGGTTTAGGGTGTTGGGTTCTCCATGGTTTCGATACGGGTTTCGTAGGGTTGCTTCTGCGCGTTCGTTTTTAAAGGTCTTTCATAAAGGTTTGGTGGTTTTTGTCGGAGTGCCAAGGTTCCAACAGGGTGCTATTGTTGATGCTCCTTTAAAGGGATCTATAGGGGTACCTTTAATGGGCTCCTTTAAGGGATCTTTAGGGTTTAGGGATATAAATCCTGCATGACCCTAAGGACTCTAGATTATGGCAACTATGGTATATTCCTTATAATGGGTAATACAGGATTTTGTCCTTCAACAGTATGAATGACTAGTATTGGTATATATGTCTTAGGGTTCCGGCAAGTCCTAGAATGATGTCACTCTGGTATAAGACATCCCGCATTTCCAAGTCCTAAACATTAAAGGCCCCTATACCTCAGTCTGTGGTTATAAAGGAACTAATAATATTGACTAGGACCTAGAATAGGCCCTTGTTTCCTTTTTTAGGGTTCAGGTTCCCTTATAAGCCCCTTTAAACCAAAAAGGGCAGACTTTTTATTACTAGGATACTCTTGGGTCTAGTTGAGGTACCTGCATCTGGGTCTGCAAGCTGAATGTAGGTGCGTATTCGGTCGAGTGTATACCATGGTTGTTCCTGAACGTAGTAATTATCCAGAGGCCCCTGCCAATGCCACCTACACATACTCTCCAGTTTCTTTGGACCGTTTTAAAGGAAACCTTGAAGTAGCCGCAAGGGAACCCTTTGGCGGACTTCGTGGGGTTCTTGTGTGTATATGGACGACTGACTCCTGGGTTTATTCAAGGCCATCGACCGACCAATGCCAACTCTGTACCCCTAGTCCGACTAGATGAAGAGCTCCAGGTGCAAATGGTGCTTACACAAGTGCGGAGAGCTGCAGTGCCTAGAAGCCGCCTTCACCTGTATGTTAACTGTATGAATCTCTTTTTTCATTGGGAACGGCCATTGGGAATACGGAATACGTGTTGTCAGAAGGAGCTCCTAATTAACCAAAACGGGACCGACCCTTTGGATCTTGGGGGGACGCGTTGCTTTGAAGAACTTCCACATTACGTGGCGGGGCAAGGGACTTAGTAAGTCGTTTATAAGAAGGGCTATAATTGGGGTAATTCCATTTGGGGTACTTACAACTCTACTTATAACCTACTTACTAAGTGCCCTGCCCCTCCAAGTATGGGTCGCTATAGACTACCTCGCTAAAACGAGGGATGGTTCAATACGAAGTCAACACTCAAAAAACAGCAAAATCCTAAACCCTGAAACATTCAACGCTACCAAAATCCTAAACCCTGCAGTATCAGAGAGTATGTGTTGCCGTGCAGGAGGCGATCAAAAGCCGGAAGAAGGACCTCAGCCAGTGGGAGCAGCACATGTCTGCCAAGGACGCGTGCAAGAAATGGGAGTTTCCGAAGATTAGGGGTATCTTAGTTTGGGATCCTGATAATAAGGCTCCTAGTTTCTAAGGCACAAAATAAGGGTCCACTGTTTTCGAAGACTCCCAATTGTGTATGAAGTAGAAGGGTTCTGTCGCGTCTCGTGAGGGCTCGATGAGGGTATTACAAAAACTGTGCAAGGGCTGGCGCGACCGACTGTCCTGAGAGTAGGATTCGGTGTCCAAAGATTGGCTGGCATGATTGAGTTATGGGCAAGTATCACCACAGAAGACCTCCAAACCCGAACACTCCCATATCTGAAACCCTGAACCCCAAATGCCCTAAGCCAGAAGAACCCCTAAACAGTTTCCACATGGGTGGTTATCAAAATTAGGACCCCTTGTTGGGTACCCTAAAATATTAGGTGCCGTACTTATAATATGGACCCAAAAAGGGGACTATAATTTTGACAACCACCCACATGAAGGGAGGCAAGGAGACAAGTGAAGACCGTCGAAACTGCGGTTATGGACACCCCCAGCGCGAATTGTCTGCACCCCCCTTGACACTATCAGCAAGAGCCAAAGGATATCAGGGTGGAGAAGGCCTTCAAAGCCTTATCCCCAGAGTGTCGAATTACCCAAAAGCTTTAAAAGGACCTTGTAGGGATCATTTTTCAGGATCACTCCTTTTTCCTTCAAAACATGACCTTAAACTCTAAAGGGAACTTGTTAAGGATCCCTTTGTCTTGGAGGTACGCCAGCTCAACCCGAAAGCATAAAACCTTTGAATTCTGCCTTTGATAGCACCTACACCTGAAAATGGACTCTTTAAGGGAGCATGTTTAGGGAACACGTCTGATTCTGAAGATGACCTATACAAAAACCCTATAAGGAACCCCTTGTTTTGAGTGCACAACCAGGAGATCTGATCAAGCCTTCATTAAGCCCCTTAATTCTCTCTAAACCCCCAAAGAGGAGCCTTAAAAGGAACCTCCTTAAGGGAACCGCAGGGAGCACCGTTTTTCCTTTAAGGGGAGCCCCTTAAAGGAGTACGGAGCCTTTCTTTTGATGGCGCCATCAAGAGATCTAAATCACAACAGCTGCCATCAGGAGATCTTAGGGGAGCCCCTTCAACGAGGAAGGGGTTGTGCCGAACAACTTCTTCCTCTTGTCCACGCGGTTGTGTGCGGACAGATGGCGGCCCCTGGACCTGGACAACAGGACCGACCTCCGCACGTGGACCGACCTCCGCGCCACCCTCGAGACGTACGGTGGCTACGTCGGCCAAAAGAGCATTGCCAGGATGGTCTGTCGACAGCTACTGAAGGTCCCGGGCCTCTCCATGGAAACTGGCGGCAGCAGCCGGCTGGGCGTGGTGCACGTCTTCCAGCTGCTCTAGAGCGATGCGGCAGTAATGGTGAAGGTCGGCAAAGTAGCATGGTCTCTATACTCAGCGGCGAGCACCACTCCGTTGAGTACGCTGCTCAGCGACTACTCTCTGAGCGTGCCGAACTTCGACCCAACCCGCTGCAAGTGGCAGCTGCACGCGGCTCTTGTCGTGCAATCAGACACGGCAGCGTGGCTCGCCGAGCAGCCTCTGCACGGGAGCCCAGACCCTATACCCGAAACTGCCATCAGGAGATCCTGAGGGAACCCCTTAAAGGAGTAAGGAGCCTTTCTTTTGAGCGCGCCATCAGGAGATCTTAGAAGCCTAAACTCCAAACCATAACACTTTCCCTAAGCCATTTCTTGTTGAATATAATCCTAAACTCCCAAATCCCAATTCCTAAAACCCTAAAACCCTAAACCCTAAAACCCTCAAACCCTAAACCGCATCAGGAGATCTTAGAAGCCTACGCTCCAAACCATAACACTTTCTAAAGGGGGAGGGTCCCCCTCATCAGAACTCCCAGTCAGCCTAAACCCTATAAACCCTATAAACCCTATAAACCCTAAAACCCTAAAGCCCTAAACCCTAAACCCCTAAACCCTAAACCCTAAAACCTTAAAGCCCTAAACCCTAAAATATTAAAACCCTAAAACCCTATACACCCTAAAACCCTCAACCCTAAAACCCTAAAACCTTAAACCGCATCAGGAGATCTTGGAAGCCTACAATCAGGCCGAGAGTTGGCCCGTGCCCGAGGGCCAAACTTTGGAGGCCCCCGGTTCTCTCAGGGGGGTCAGGGGGAGGGTTGGGGGTGTACGGGGGGTCGGGGGACTTAGTAAGTAGTTAGTAAGTAGACTTATAAGTACCCTAAAAGGGACCCTAATTGGGGTTATGGTACTTATAAGTCCCCAAAATAACCAGTTACTAAGTCCCCCGACCCTCCAAGTAGGGGTTTAGGATTCTCTAAGAGGTGGGGGGGGGCTGGGGGGGTTGGGGTTTGGGGTGTAGGGGTTTAGGGGTTGGGTTTAGGGTTGAGGGGTTGAGGCTTGAGGGGTTTAGCGTTTAGGGTTTTAGGGTGTGGTTCTCTCAACGGGGGGTTGGGGTTTGGGTAACATAATAGCCTTTTATAGGTTTGGGGCCATTATTTGACCTACTTTGGGGGTTCTAGGTAGGGGTTTAGGGTATAGGGGTTTAGGGTTGAGGGGATTCGGGTTTAGGGGATTAGGTTTAGGTTTTTCTTTGGTGTAGGGGTTTAGGGGTTAAGAGATTAGGGGTTTAGGGGTTTAGGGTTTAGTCGAGGTGACGAGGTTGAAGTTTTGAGTCTTGCTGGAAAGTAGTTTAAGGGTTGAGGTTGTGAGCACAGGCTGGTGTTTGGGGGGTTCCAGGAGTCTATGGCTCGTTTGATTAGGATTCGGGTTTTAGGGTTAGGCTTAGGGCTTTGGGGGTGTTGGGGTTTAATTACGGGGCATTCAGAAGCATTGAGGCTTACGGCGGGGAGGGTCACAGAGGGGGACGGGCAGCTATTGCTGAACAGATGCTGCTGTTATACTCCTTGATGCTGGGTCCTTGCATTCCAAAATTCGGGGTATGCCGGGGTCCGGTGTTTCCGCCATGCATGAATCCTAAACCTTGCCTTTTCTCTCATTGTGTTTTATTGTTCGCTGCCTGATTAGGATTCCTGTCCCATGCAGCGATCTGTGGTAACTGAACCTTACACCCTGCCTAGTTTCAATGTTATTTTCGTCCCTGTGGGTTCAAAATGATGTTACCTAGTCTCCATTGTAGTTCCTGCTTGGGGTTACCACTGAGATGGAAAGCATAAAATGGGAAAGCCAAAAACAGGAACGGCAATGGAGACGATGAAGGCTGCGGGGCTTAACTACTATAGGGGTTCCCAGAAAGGGTCCCTTAAAGGGTTCTGTAACGGTTACGATAGGGGTATATACTTGGATCCCTTATACAGTAAACCCCATAAAGTTGGAAACCGGATTAAGGCCAAATAGTGCTGGGATTCCCCATACATTCCTCTTAGGGGTCGGGGCTTCTACTGTAGACCCCTTTCAAGGATCCCTTCAAAGGGGTCCCGCGCTGGCCAGGAGTGGCTTCAGTCGCTCGCGGAGGAGCAGAAAACCCTGCGCTCGGTGAAGAGCACTCAGGCACCCGACGGTTCCAAATAGCCCAAAACCCTCAGGCTCCATGTACCCATCTAGTATATAAAGCATATACTTTGGGCCTCAAAGCGGCTACTAGGTATTATAGGTACTTTGAGGCCTAAGTGTACTACATGGCTACATGGAGCCTTAACTAGGATGCCCAGTAGTACCCTTATTCCTTTTTTTGTAGTCCTAGGTTCCTTATAAAGTTACCGAATACCAAAAAGAGAGGCCTTTTTATTCTTAGGTTACGTGGTATCCTAGGCCTTCAAAATGAGATCCGAGAGCCTTAGGGGCCGGGGTTTTGATGTGTGCCGCAGAAGGGCAGCTGCAGGTCTCCTCCATGTCCTCAAACCCTACAAAATAGTAGGTTATGACCCCTTAATTAGAGGGTAGAACCCTTAAAACGGTAATTAGGGTTTCGGATCCTATATTAGACCCTATAAAGTAAAAGCCAGAAAGTTGGAATATGATTATCCTAACCCTTCTATGGTAAATTATAGGGTATCCTACCCTGAAACCATATTCCAACTTTCTGGAGTTCCCTTTAAACAGATAGACCCAAACCCGAAGGCTACCGGACCCTACCCAGAGACTCCAATATCCCTTAATTAAGGAATATTCCCTAAATTATAGTAGGGATCCTACTATAATTTAAGGAACATTCCTTAATTAAGGGATATTGGAGTCTCTGGGTACCTACAGTCTCCCTTGTAGTTCCTTTTTGGGGGTTACCTCATAGGATCCTAATTATATTATTGGTTAAACCAAAAGAAGGAATTACAATGGAGACTATAGGTAATCATCCTTGATAAACTCGTCTCCTTAGCCTTATCGTCTAGGGGTTTAGGGCTTAGTAGCTTATAGCATAGATTGCTTCATGCTTTTTGTTGTGTTTTCCAAGAGGCCGAGTGCCTTGGATTGTTTTCCGTTTTTTCCACAAGGGTGCTGATGTTTTGGATTTTCGAGCATGGAAGGTAGGCCAAGGAGCCCGCTGAAGAGCAGGTTGACTGAAGTCACGAACACGACAGCCCGTAAACCCCCCATGGGTGGTCGTCAAAATTAGGGTCCCTTTTGGGGTCCCTAGTATAGTACGGCACCTATCATTTAGTGTACCCCAAAAAGGGACCATAATTTGAACAACTACCCCCATGGAAGGTCCTGGGAAATTTGAATGTTGGGCGACTGCCGAACTGAAAGAGGTATACGTCAGGTTTAGAAAGAACCAAACTGCTATTCATTCAAGTGGCGATCAAGATTTCTGGACATAGACGCATTCCTATACCCGGAGTCGTTTTCAGCCATCCCCATCAGAAGACGATACATTCAACTCTTCTCAGGCCACATATATGTATAAGTTCCCGTCCTGCACTCTTACAAAATCTTACCCTGTGTTCCTGAGTGTTACCTAAGCCTCAACCTCTTCAGGGTCTGGGGTTTGGGCTCCTACCGCAGGATTTGTCTAAGGCTCGTATCGGAACTTGTCCAAGCTTAGCACGGCCGCAGTTTCTCGGCATGTTACTTCGACCAACACTGTCTGACTGAAACCCTGTAGAGTCTCCATCAACCCTCTGCAAGACCCCAAATGCCTACCACCACTGGCCGCATGGCCTCAGCTTTACGAGTGCACGGAGGGTCCTGGCACGAAGCTTTTCTCCGCCGCCACTTTTTTAATCAAGGGAGCTTCATCCTCGCTTTATGCCGATGTGAGGCTTATACATGTTTTAGTTTCGGACTATCTGTTTAGCCGCTCGGGCCTTTGTTCGGGGCCTTGCAAAAAAGCATCCACGAACTGTCCGAACTGTCGGAGCAAATGCCGGAGCCGTGAAGTTCCAATACAGGGGCCTAAGTAATTACTAATGCTACTGCTGATGGACAAAATCCTGCATGACTTTAAGGACTCTAAACTATGGGAACTATGGTATATCCCTTACAATGGGTCATGCAGGATTTTGTCCATCAACAGTAGTTTGGGGTTCCTCATGCTTTATGATATTTATAGTATAATGGCCCCCCCAAACCCCATTCAAACTATGTTAAAATCTAGGCCCCTACATTATGGGCCCGGGGACTCAGAAACAAGGCTATGGCTCATCTTTGCGCTGCAATTGGTAGTGTCCCATTTATCTTCCTAGGCCCGGCACAAACTGAAGGACCCTGAAGGTTTAGGGTTTAGGGTGCTTGAAAGAGTCGCCTCAACTCCACACATCGCACCCTACAGTTTCAGATGGAGAGTACGAATACCATCATGCAGCAACAGCAATGTAGATCCGTGACGAATATCATTCTTTTCCTTCCTTCATGGCCTCAATAAACCTGATACAGAGTTCTTGTAACCGAGCCGGAACACCCTTCATTGACACCCCTCATTGGACACTTAAGAAATCCTTTTTGCAAGTTCTTGCGAACCTCCTGCACAATCTTAGCAATGCTTCGCGTCTACATGGTTTCCGGAGACGAGCTGGCTGCCATACCGGTCACGGCCGTGAGCGACGTGCGGGAGTTGAAGCAGCAGTTGCTGTGCTCGCATTATGGATCTTTGTGTAAGCGTGTCGTCGGGGTTGGAGGGTAACACAGGCTAACTGGGAGTTTCCGAAAATAGGGAACCCGAAAATAGTACCCTAAATAGTAGGACCCTTATTATAAGGACCCCAAAATACGGTACCCCTCATTTTCGGAAACTCCCAGCTAACGAATGAACTTGAATGGAAGCTTTTGACTTAGAGATGAAGGTCTATTGCTCGGATAGGTAGTCGAGCTGTGTCTTCTTTGATGCAATCTTTCGCTTAATAGCTTTATAGGAGCCCTACGGAATGGTATGGCTGAGCATACCGTTTTGCATAAAAATCACCATAAAGGGACCAGCACATTTAATCACCACTTCACGCTTATATGCGCGACATTCCTCTTATCGTGACTTACTTCAACAGAACCCTTCACCACTCTAAATACCAAAGCGCTTCAAATCCCTGCTGTTTGAAACAACGCAGTTCCTGAACCCTTAGCCCTGAGCTATCTACGAGTGCCCTACAAACTATGTTATACACAACTCTCAACCCTAACTCCCTTATCAACGCTGTGCACCCTAAAGGCCGTGAGCAGACTAACAACCTCAATCAACCGTACACAACCCCAATACAGGGGCCTGAAGAATCAGTATATGACACTATAAACCCCTAGACCCTAAACCCCAAACCCTAAACCCCTAGACCCTAAATCCCACCCTAAACCCTAAACCTTAATGTGACACTACATTCCTTAGGGGTCCGTACTCGGATTTGCTATAGTATAATCATGCCCCAGAATCCTGCTAAGTTCATAGGGATCCTTAGGGGTGTAGGGGGGAGGGGTGTAGGGGACTATATTTCCTTAAATAGGCCTTATTAGTCCTTATTATGGGCCTTAAGGCCCCCTACCCCCCCTCCCCCTACACCCCTAAGGATCCCTATGATAAGTGCCAACGTATCTTTACCAAAGGACTCTCCATCTACTCTCGTGAGGATCCGAGCTTGCCACTATTAAGGGCCCATGCACCCCTATTGCGTATACAACTCTGGTACTCCGAGCAAGTATGTGGTGTGTGTGTGTGTTGTGTTATAGCAAAATCCCAAGGGAGTATTAAACAAAACGATATAAGCTTTCTGCTGCGCTTCTACGTTAAATCCTACCCCCAGACCCTAAACCCCTAGACTCAGACCCTAAACACCTAAACCCTGAAACCCCTAAACCCCTAGCTTCTAAGGACACTGAACCAAAAAAGTTGGTTTCTGTTCAGACCGAGGTTGCAGAAGCACTGCGGCGTGCCACGATTTAGGCAGCGGCTCCTTCGAAATGGGCGACTTGGACTAAGGGCTTTAGGGTTTAGGGGATTTAGGGTTTAAGGGATTTAGGCAGAGGCTCCTGCGAAATTTTGCGCGACTTGGTCTTTGAGAGTTTAGGGCTTTGGTTTTTGAGCTTAAGTGTTCAGGTGATAGGTTCTTGGCGGACTTAGTAGCCGACTGAGTGCACTGTAAGTTTTTTATGGAATAATGCTACAGTTTATTATAGAACTGGGAGCGTATATTTTTTTGGGAGGGGGGGGCGGCTTATGAACTCGGCAGCTAAGAGGACGTTTCAGGGTTGAAGGTTTATGATCAGATGTATGGGTTTGCATTGGCTGTGTTGTTTTGGGTGGTCTACGTTGTTGTTCGGGTGTCCATGCTTATTTAGGGTTTAGGGCATTAGGGATTTAGGGTTTAGGGTTTAAGGGTTTGGGCTTTAGGGGTTTGGGGTTTAGGGGTTTAGGTACATCGTATTTTGTGAGTTGTGTTGTCTTCATGTGGTCCTTTCTAGGAGGTTTGGGCTTGCGCGGTCTCCGCCATGGCATACTACCTAAGCTACAAGCGTACAGTGGGCTCCCAGGGCTTTGTCCATCGTCACATCTTTAAGCATACTTCCAGGGAACCTACAGCCCAAGCAATAAATCCCCAAACCCCGTCTACCCCTGTAAACCCACATCTTCAGTTTAAACCAGATTCAAACCGATGTTCCGGAAAGTCCTAAGTGATTAAATGTCATCCAGCTCTCATAAAACCGTCAAGTAAGCAATGTGGGTCAACTCTTGCAGGAGGACCCTGCATACGGCTCTGGAACTGATAGTCCTGACTGAAGGGGCCTGGTAGTCTCTTGGACCACTGATACAACGGTATAGAAATCTCGGAAAACCGAGGGATCTGCTGGAAGATCACGTGGCGCTCGACGCTGCTGGAAATTTGCAATTGGTTCTTTTGCCTTTCGCCCCGGCTTCTCAGAAGCACGTCGAGGCGCTAACTCTTGCTGCCGGAAATGGCGAGATCAGCGAAGTTGATAGGATGCTTCATGAGTCTTGACTGCTTCTTGGGTTTTGAGTTTTGGGTTTCTTCCTTGAAGGTTTTTTGAGTCTCAAGTCCACGCCTGTCTCAACCAAGTCTCCCAAGCTCTGTTCTGGACGCCTTTCCGCCGTTCTCAACCCCTGAGTCCCTAACCCTCCCCGATTTACTCCAAAGGGCCATAAGTAAACGGGAGTTTCCGAAAATTAGGGTACCATATTTGGGGGTCCCTATAATAAGGATCCTACTATTTAGGGTACTACATTAGGGTCCCCTATTTTTGGAAACTCCCAAACCGCAGTGCCTGATCGACTGATGTTCAATGTCTCTCTTCTTGCCTAGTCGCAAAACCTGCAAAGCAATACCCAAGACAAACCTGTAAACCTCCGCAACTCTAAAGACACCTTTAAACCCTGAAGACCCCAAAAAAGCAAGAAGAGTCTCAAGAGCTCCCTGACCCCTCTAGATCCTAACCCCCTAGGAATTAGGAACCCTATAGCCTTATTATCCCTTCGCCTTGTAAACTCTAAGGCCTAAACCTAAACGATCCCTAAACCCAACCTGAAAACAGCCCAAGGAGCTTCGCAACCCTAAAGAACTTGGATGAAGCCGTTAAAACCTTATAGAACTTCAACAGAGGCCTTTCAACAGATCCCCCAGGAGCTCCTAAACCCTGAAGCCTAAACTAAATCCGAACTTAAAGCCTTTATAGAACCTCAAAAAAGCCTTCAAAAGAGAGCCCCCAAGAAGCTCTTACACACTAAACCTTTCAAGAGAGCCCTAAGGAACTCCGAAACCCTAAACCCTAAATTAATCCCCAAGCCCTAAACCCTAAATCCCCTTCCTAAGCCCCTATCCTATAAGATCCTTATAAACCCTTGAAGGAAAGCCGCAAAAAACTCCTGAACCCAAACCCTTAAAAGAACGCCCCAAAAAACTCCTGAACCCATACCCTTAAAAGAACGCACCAAATAACTTCTGAACCCAAACCCTGAAAAGAACGCCCCAAAAAACTCCTAAACCCAAACAGTTAACAGAACGCCCCTAAGGAACTCCTAAACCCAAACCCTTAAAAGAGAGCCCCAAGGAACTCCTGAAACCCTTATCTAATAAGATCCTTATAAGAGAATCCTATTGTAGAACCTTATAACTAGAAACCTTTAAAGAAAGCCCGCAAGGAACTCCTCAAACCTGACCCTTTAAAGAGAGCCCCAAGGAACTCCTGAACCCTAACTAAACCCTATATAACTCTATAGAGCCTTAATTAAAGATCTCCGAAACCCGAAACCTTAAAAGAAAGCCCGCAAGGAACTCCTCAAACCTGACCCTTTAAAGAGAGCCCCAAGAAACTCCTAAAACCTGACCCTTTAAAGAAAGCCCGCAAGGAACTCCTGAACCCTAACTAAACCCGAAACCTTAAAAGAAAGCCCGCAAGGAACTCCTAAAACCTAACCCTTTAAAGAGAGGTTTAAGGAACTCCTGAACCCTAACTAAACCCTATATAACTCTATAGAGCCTTAATTAAAGATCTCCGAAACCCGAAACCTTAAAAGAAAGCCCGCAAGGAACTCCTCAAACCTAACCCTTTAAAGAGAGCCCCAAGGAACTCCTGAACCCTAACTAAACCCTATATAACTCTATAGAGCCTTAATTAAAGATCTCCGAAACCCGAAACCTTAAAAGAAAGCCCGCAAGGAACTCCTAAAACCTAACCCTTTAAAGAGAGCCCCAAGGAACTCCTGAGCCCTAACTAAACCCTATATAACTCTATAGAGCCTTAATTAAAGATTTCCGAAACCCAAAACCTTAAAAGAAAGCCCGCAAGGAACTCCTCAAACCTGACCCTTTAAAGAGAGCCCCAAGGAACTCCTGAACCCTAACTAAACCCTATATAACTCTATAGAGCCTTAATTAAAGATCTCCGAAACCCGAAACCTTAAAAGAAAGCCCGCAAGGAACTCCTCAAACCTGACCCTTTAAAGAGAGCCCCAAGGAACTCCTGAACCCTAACTAAACCCGAAACCTTAAAAGAAAGCCCGCAAGGAACTCCTCAAACCTGACCCTTTTTAAAGAGAGCCCCAAGGAAGTCCTCAAACCTGACCCTTTAAAGAGAGCCCGCAAGGAACTCCAGGATCCCAACTTGCTCGCCGGGGGCGCCGGCACCACGGCACTTCACCGCGCGGCGGCCGCGGGACATCGGGACGTGGCGCGACTTCTGCTTCTGGGCTCCTTTAGAGGGTTTAGGGTGTAGGGCTTAGAGCTTAGGGCTGAGAGTTTAAGGTGCTATAAGGGTGCCATACTCGGGTTTACTCGTAGGGTTTAGGGTGCCTCTGGGCTCCTTTAAAGGTTAGTATGTTCCATATTGAGGATCCCTTCTAAGGATCTTACAAGATTGGCTGCCTTTCTAGACTTCATATTGGTTTAGGGTGTAGGGGTTAGGGTCTACCTTAAGCCCGAAGAACCTACCTTTTTAAGGACTGATATAAGGAAATCATAATAGGGAACCCTAAAAAGGTAGGTTATTCCGGCTTAAGGTAGGGCTTGAGGCTTGGGGCTGAGAGTTGAGGTGCTATAAGGTGCTATCTGTTTTGGGGTTTAGGGTTTAGGGTGCTGTTGGGCTCCTTTCCCAGAGGGTCCAAAGTACCGGTATAGCCGAAAGTGGGGTTTCTATAGTAGGAATCACCAGAAATGTTTGGGTGAGTATCCCCGCTATCATATGGGTAGTTGTCAAAATTGTGGTCCCTTTTGGTTACCCTAAATATGGGCGCCGTACTATATTGGGGACCTAAAAAGGGACCCTAATTTTGACAACCACCCACATGAGTGAGCCGTTCTTGTTTCTCTTGGCGGGGGTCATGTACTGCTGGTAAAGCGGGTTCGGTCTGAGAGACCGAGAGTCGCCAGCGAGAGACCTAACCCTGAACCATAGGCCCTCAACCTTGAAACCCTGAACCCCAAACCCTAAACCCCTAAAGCCCAACACCCTAGCACAGCACTAAAGCGCCTTGAAGCCCTAAACCCCGAAATCCAGGCTAGAGGCATGCAAGTATCTACACCCCTATTAAAACCACTACAGAGCCCGTACAGAATCCCTCAAAGAAACCCTAAAACCAAACTAAACCCCTAAACTAACCCTAAAGGCCCCAAACCCTAAAGGAACCCTAAGCCCTAATTTCACCCTTAAACCCTGAACACTCAAGGCCCCAAATTACTAAAGGAACCCTTATAGAAACCCTGACATGAACCCTTATTCTAGGAACCCTTAACGGAATCCTTAAAAAAAAAAAACCTGAAAGGAACCCTTTAAAAAAAAACAGCCCCTAAACCGTAAACCCTAAACCGTAAATCCCTAAAAAAAAGCAAAGAGATCAAGGCTCGAGGCTGGCGCAGACCACGACCCTCCAAGCCGCAACTTGGGGAGAACTCCTCTCCACATGGCTGTCGACAACGGGCATGCTACTGGGCTGCAAGGGTTTAGGGGGCTTAGAGGGATTAGGGTTCAGGTTCTATTTCTGGGTTCAGTTCAAAGTACTCTAATCGGCTACTGGGTTCTTTTAAAGGGGCTCCTGAGTAGTACCAGTTGCCCTTCTTAAGTTTTTGGGTCTGCATGTTGAAACAGAATATTAGAAATAAAGGGACCTACTGGGCTCTTTTAATGAGGGGTCCGTTAGAGATGTAGGGTTTAGGGCCTCTGGGTTTTTCTCTTAGGAGTTATGTCCTTGTTTTGGTTATGATATAAGAACTTAAGGGGGTCAATAAGAATATTGGTTTTATTCTGGTTCCAAGGGCGGCTAAGCTCCTTTTGTTTACTTTACATCACTTGTGAGAGAATACTATTCCGTGTTTAGAACTGGAAGTGTCCGTATGCCAAAAGAGCCAAAGCAGTTTCAATTAATTCCTCCTGAAAATAGGGTTTACAAGTGCACGGCAAATAAAAGGTATTGTCGCCGCCAGCAATCCATAACACCTTTTGGGGCTCATGATCTCGGCAACTAAGTGAGTTCAAGGTACCATAACTAGGCGGGATCTATGCAAAATATTAGGGTTAGCTTGATTATGGTAACTTGAACTAATTTTCAATGACAAGAACCCAGGCCAGTGTCGTCGAGTTGCTGATGTATGCAGGCGCTGATAAGCAGCGGCCCAACAACTTTGGACAAACCCCACTCTGGGTGGCATCGCGAGCAGGTAATGCGACCATTCTACATGCACTTCAAGGCGAATGCTGATGGAGTGGCGAGAGTGGCTATGAAGGATAAACATTGCTTGCCGATCTCTTCGTTCCTACGCATTTTTTAAGGCTGGGAGAAATCTGATACTATAGGGGCCTTAATAATTACCTATACTATTTTGGGGGCTGCCTATTATAATTAGTGTAGAATATACCCCAAAGGCCTATTTTGATTATTACGGCCCCTATATTTTCAGCTTTGGGTGCCGACGTTTGGTGCGAAGATGGGCCACGGTGATTGCATATTCCCCGAGGGGTCGGGGGCTTTCTGCTGCCGGTAAAGTGCAACACTGCATTGATGTCAGCCGCAAGCAAAGCAGCGGCTATGCCTCATTAGTTGTGTAGGAAAACTCAGGTCCCGCTGCATCAGACTCGTTCTAAGTTGGTCTCTTTTTGTGATTACACATCAAGCACTCATCTCCGTACCCATGCCACAGAGGCTCATCTGGACTCTAGGCCCCCATGCTCATCGAGCTAAACCCCCTAAGCCCGAAGCCCTCAAACCCCGAAAACTTTCATGCAGAACATGCCACAAACGTGCTCGTCGCTGAATTGTGCTTAGCAAAGCCCAGAGCACAGCCGAGTCAGAAAAAGCGCTGATTTGTGGTGCTTGTCCTCGCAATTACTGGTGGTGCAGTGACTTTGATCAAGCCCTGGTACTTGTACTTTAGTTTGCCGGTTTTGGCCCGAAGAATTACTGCTTGAACTATTGGTATCTTTGCCTCCTCTCCTTATTTTTGCTGGAACAAGCACTACAATGATACATTTTTACTTGGGGGATCATGGGACTTAGTAATCAATGTTATAAGTACCTCAATTGGGGTTATATGTAGTTATCAATATAGTTACCCTAGTCATAACCTGAGTTACTGAGACCCATGATCCTTTACGTACTTAGCCCCTGGGGTACAATCATAACTACTGTACTATTACCCATTCCCTACTAACTAAAGGTCAGTTTGGTGAAGATCACCTGATCCGGCCATACAGTTCTCAGATTCGGCAAAGTTCGTTTTAGCAAGACTGAGCTCTTAATGCCCAGATGAGTATATGGGCGGTTGTCAAAACTATTGTCCTTTTTTGGGTCCCTAGTATAATACGGCACCTATTATTTAGGGTACCCCAAAACGGACCTTAATTTTGACAACTACCCATATGGGCCTGAACAATTACTCGTACTACGTCCATGTATTTCCTTGGGGTTCCTCACCATCCTCCGCACAGCCAAGGCAACGGAGGGTAGTCAGTTTAGGGTTTACGGCTTAGGGTTTAAGGGTTTAAGGGCTTAGGGTTTAGGGGTTTAGAGTTTAGGGTTGGGAACCACAGCTTCACCATTGTAAACAGACTTGGTGTCCCGGGGCCGACGGCCACGGAGGTAGTACCAAATATCTTATCCTGGGCTTCGGAGTACCATGCTTTAATACTTGTGTTCTTAACGGAGCCATTATGAAATACAAGTTTATACTTTTCTTCCTGGTTACTAAAACGCCCAGTATGAGATATGTCTTAGAATGCTTGTTGAAGGCTCGTCGCCGTAGCATTCTTTTGTATTTCAAGCCCGGCACTCGACTCTTCACAAGAGTGGGGGGGGGCTTTTTTGGTACCACTTAGGGAACCTACTTACTAAGTCCCTTGCCCGTCCAAGTACGAAGAGCCACCCAGAGCATAGCATGTTGGATCCACAATACTGCGCTACTTCGGTACTTGGATCCGCTAGGCTAGTTCATTGGTTGCTCATTAGAGCTGTTTCAGTGGTCATACCTGCCTGTATCGTGTAAATAGTAGGTTATGACCCCTTAATTATAATTAGGGTCTAACCTCCCCCACCCCCCGCCCCCCCGCAAGCACCCTAAACCCTAAACCCTAAACCGAGCAGTAGGGTTTTGGATCCGCAAGTAGGGCCCTTGGCAGTAACCTACATTCGAGGACCTGCACGGTTTTTCCAGTGTCCAGGGATCTCGCTTACGTGCAAACCCCAAAGCCCCCCAAATCGGGTTAGGGTTTAGGGTTTAGAGTCCAGGGTTATCCTGAAACTCATTGGCGCTTTCATTTTAAGGGGGTGTATGGGGAGATGCCTGTGGTACTTTTTGCTTGCGTGCTGTTTCGGTGCCCTATCAAAGGCCCATGTCCTTCAACACAAATGGCCGAAACCCCGAAGCCCCGGAATACCTGGAAATGTGAGCATTAAACACCTAAGCCCTAAACCCTATAGGCCTAAACCCTAAACCCCTATAGGCCCTAAACCCGGAACCCCCAAATGCCACCTAAACCGTAAAGCCTCATCGCAGGTCTCCTTGAAGTCCCTGAAGCTGGAGATCTTGCAAGCATCCGAGAAGCCAGGCTAGTACAGGGCATTGAAGGATTCCGGGTTTCAGGGCTTTGAGGTTCAGGAAGTTAAGTTTAGGGATTATAGTGATTAGGATCTAGGGCTTAGCGTCTAGAATTTAGGGTTTAGGATTTAGCATGTTGGTTGCGGGTTTAGGGTTTAGGATTGTGGAATTTAAGGTTTAGGGTTGCGATGCTTCTTCTGAATTCGTTTGAGTCAGGGCTCATTGAGGGTTTTGCAGTGCAGTCTGGGGTGTGATGTTTTGTTTCGCGCAAGGGAATCAACACCCCCCCTCCCTCCCAAATCTAGGAAGGGATTTAGGGTTTAGGGGGTTTAGGCACCCTGCCCAACCTGCACTCAGCCCTAAACCTTAAAGCCCGAAAGCACAGCCCAAAACGTCGACCACACCCAAAACAAGTGGCCTAAGTTCAATCCCAAAGGCCCAAAGGCGGCTTGTGTGGGATTGAGGGTTTAGGGTGTAGGGTTGTGTGGGTAGACTGTCACTGTGTGGGTACATCCAGAGCCCCACGACCACGACTGGCTGATGAGCATGTAACAATGGATTCCTCACGGTGTGCCCCACAGACAAGCGCAATGGTCAAGATTGCTGGATGGTACCAGTATCTTTTGTTTAAGGAATATTGAATGAACACATGAAGGGCACATTCAAAATTTCGGCAGTGCACAAAGAACAAACACAGCTTCACACTCAAAACTGCAGTCAAACCCCACAACCTGTTTCGGACACTCCAGCCCATGAATCATCAAACCATCAAGTGCCTTCAGCCAGTTTCTGAGAGAGGGTTGTAGCCCTCCCTGTTCCGCAAGCAATGCAGTCGGTGTTTCTACGAAAGCAGAGGTTTGCCATTCTTTTTCGCCGGTGCGAATCTGCTGGGTATCTTTTACACGGCGATCTTCATCTCGGCTCGAGCTGTGCATTATCTCAAGTGCGATGGACAGCAAGTGTGCCCTCCTTCCTGTCCAGAGGAAGCCTCACTGCGTCATCCGTTGAGAAAGCTTTGGAGGAAACAATCATCTGGATCCAGTCGCTGCAGATTGCTTCCGGTACGTATTCATGGAACCACCTAAAACACTTGACAGCTGGCGAGATCATTGACAGTGCTTTGGTTTCAAACTTTCTCAGTAGCTGAGTGGATACCTGGATACCCTTCACACTTTTTGGGATAGTATTACCCACTATAAAACTGAAAGTGTACACTTTTGGGGCTGATGAACTCAGCAACTAAGCTTGAGGGTTGTGGGCGGAGGAGATTGAAAGAGTAAGCGCCACCGTGAGTTGTCCGGCAATGCACGCCGGAGTCAAACTTTTGAACTCTTGGTGGAAGCGGAGTCTGATGATTAAGGCCCCGGCCCGGAGATTGAGATACTAACTTTGGGATTTGGGAGTTTCCGAAAATGAGGGGTACCTTTACATTGGGGTCCTTATAACAAGGATCCTACTATTTAGGGTACTATTATTTTAGGGTCCCCTATTTTCGGAAACTCCCATTTCTGACCTTTGTTAAGCTGCTTACAGCTTAATTAGGCCTTCGTAAAACCTGATCAAGCCTTATACAGCCGGAATAACGAAGCCCTACCCTACGCCTGTTAACACCCTAGTCAAAGTCGCCAAAGCCTTTGCCGAGAAGGTAAGAGCATCATAAGACCGTTTAAGGGCCGTTGAAAAGACCCTGACGCTTAAAGACTCTAGGTATACCTAGATCCCGCAACTACCCTCTAACATACCCTAGGCCCTAAATACCCACAAGGGCTCTATTGAAGGGCACTTTTGGGATCCTGGTAGGGTTTAGGGCTCACCCCAACACCTGAACCCTTCGATCGCACCCAAACTATCCCCACGAAGGAACCCTTGCCATTACCCTTCAGGGTCCCCGTACCCAAACAGTATACACCTGGGGCCCAATGTACCTATGTAGGGAGTACGTTAAGTTAATAAGGCCAAGGTATATACTTCTTGGGTACATGGACCCTTTGGGTTACCCTTCAGTACATACCTCAAATCCTCAGAGGAATCTTTGTTGAATCCCGCAAGAACCCTTGTAGAGCTCAAGCCTATAAACCGCGAACCCTAGAAAGCCAGGCATGGGTTGCTCTGCGCAGGTGGAGGATGTCAAAATCTCTGCCGTTTCTCAGTGGAAAGAGGTTTGTAGGGCCCGGTTTAGGATTTTAAGGGTTTCCCTAAGACTCCATGTGCCCATATAGTAGGTACTTAGGCCTTAAAAGTACCTATATAGGGACCCGTCTAAGGCCTAAGTACCTACTATATGGGTACATGGAGCCTTTGGGTTTGGGTCCTTTTTAGGTTCAGGGTGTAGGGTTCTCAGGGTTGACATTTTTGTCGAGCTGCGGGGTGTAAGACTTCGGGTTTAGGGTTCATGGGTCAGGGTTTAGGTTTAGGGGTTCAGGGGTTTAGGGGTTTAGGGTTTAAGTCTGGCGGAAAGAGTTGGGTCACAGTTGAAGATAGTCGGGCTGTCAGTGTCCGTAAGACAATCGGCTTTCCAGCTGTCGGTGTGGAAGCTTAGTTTCGGGTTTAGGGGGCCGTCAGCCCTTAACCCCAACTCTTAACACAAAGACACCGCCCCCCAAACCGAAACCTTATCTACCTACTCTCCGATGTAAATGCTTGGTTTCGACTTCTGAGAAGGTCTGCA